TTTTTGATCTGCACACCATTCACCCTCTTCCGCTGCATCACCATGGCCATTACACCCGAAACCTTCTACCAACTTTCCAACCCCACCAACCCCTCACAACCCTTCATCGTTGTAAACATGCACAACGTCATTAAGCTCACCCCGACCAACTACCTTTCCTGGAAACTCCAAGTCGAGGCTCTGCTCGTCGGCCATGACGTTTTCCATTTCTTTGATGGCAGTACACCTTGTCCATCTCCCATAACCACCACCAACGGTGTTGACACCCCTAACCCTGACCACACCTACTGGACTCGCCAAGACCGCCTACTCTTTGGCTCCCTAATCGGCACCATCTCTCCCAAACTTGTGCCTCTCATCTCCCAAGCTAAAACCTCTGCCCAACTATGGGAGAAACTCCATCAAACATATGCCCTCCCTTCCCGTGGCCATATAAAACAGTTACGTGACAAATTTCACCGCATTGTTAAAGGCACATCCTCCATCTTTGACTATATGCGCTCTCTTAAGGAGTGCGTTGACCACCTTGCCGCTCTCGGTAAACGACCCATTGATCATGAGGACTTTATAGACCGGGTCCTCGCTGGTCTTGATGATTCTTACAAGTCCGTTGTTGACTCTGTCAATGCCCGAGACACAACCATTTCCTTCGAAGAGCTTCACGAAAAGCTCATAAACAAATAACTTTCCATCCTACAAACACAAACCACCACTGCCTCTTCCCTTCCCGCAACCGCCTTCGCTGCCACCTCCAAGGCTTCCAGCCGTCCACCAAACCGTCAACCCACCCACGGTATTCTGCCCACTCCTATAACATCTCCAAAACAGCCTCGGCCCTTCCTTGGCAAGTGCCAATGGTGCCGTGAACAAGGCCATGTTGTGGCCCATTGCCCCTTGTTCACCCAGCAATTCCCCATCGCAGCTCCCCCGCCATCACGCCCAACAACAACACCCCATAACCAACACAAACCCCAAGCAAACACAACTCAACTTGCACCCGCAAATACGTCCAGCTCCTGGCTTCTTGACAGTGGGGCTTCTCACCACGTCACAAATGACCTTAAAACTTGTCCCTTCATGCCCCTTATGATGGAACCGAGGAACTTATTGTAGGTGATAGTAAGGGTCTTATTAAAATAACTCATTTTGGTTCTTGCTACTTGTCCTCTCTTAAGCTTAACAATGTCTTAGTTGTCCCCTCTATTTCTAAAAATATTATCTCTCTTTCCCAACTATGCATTGACAATAATATTTCAATATCTTTTTCATCTAACTCCTTTCTTATAAAGGACCCTTCAATGGAGAACATCCTGTTTCAAGGGACGTCTAGTCAAGGCATCTATGAACTCCACTCCACTTCTCCTAGGGTCTACACAAGCACAACTTCATTTCTCATCTGGCATCATCGTCTAGGGCATCCATCTAGAAATATCTTTAGGCTTATTATTTCTGCAAATAAAATTAATGTTCCTTGCATCTCTACTTTAGATTGTAACTCTTGTGCTTGTAATAAAAGTCACTAACTTCCCTTCTCCATTTCTTCCATTGTCTCACACGCACCACTTGAATATGTCTATACCGATTTATGGTCATCACCGGTTTATTCTCATGACACCTTCAAATACTATCTCATATTTATCGATCACTACTCCAAATATATTTGGCTCTACAACTTAAAACAAAAATCGGATACAAAACAAATATTTATCCGATTCAATGCTTTAGTTGAAAAATATTTCCAACTCCTTCTTAAAACTCTTTATTCTGACAACGGTGGAGAATACCTAACTCTCAAAAACTATCTCACAATTGATGGCATCTCTCATCTCACCACTCCTCCTCACACTCCTTAACACAATGGCTACTCTGAACGCCGTCACAGACACATTGTAGAAACATTTCTCTCTCTTTCATCTTATGCAAATATGCCGCTTGAATATTGGTCACATGCTGCGTCCACTGCTGCCTATTTAATAAATAGGCTTCCCACACCAACTCTAAACAATGTCTCTCCATTCTTTAAATTATTCGGTCAACACCCAAATTATGCTAAACTCCGTAGTTTCGGATGTCTCTGCTATCCCTGGCTAAAACCATACACGTCCCATAAACTTGAACCCAAATCTATTCCCTGCATTTTCATTGGTTACTCACCTACACAAAGTGCATACTATTGTCTCGATCCAAAAACATCTCGTATATATGTATCTTGTCACGTTCACTTTAATGAATCCGTGTTTCCCTTCACCTCACTTAACAAAAAGCCTCTCCACCTCACTAACTTGCTTAACCAGTGGGCTCCCCTCACCATATCAACCATTATTTCCCCAACGTCCAATACACAATCATCAAATTCCTCTCAATCTCCTCCTAATTCACCTTCTGAAACTTCCACGACCCCTTCATCCTCGCCCACTCCCTCCCTCACGGAGCCCATATCCTCTACCTCCTCGACACCCTCCTCATCTCCTTCACCCTCTTCCTCGCCTCCGTCACAACAGCAGCCCACCTCTAAGTCCACCATAGTCACTCGCTTGCAACATGGCATTACAAAACCCATCAACAAACTAAACCTAAATGCTGAATTACATGACACATCTCTTCCTAAAAACATCACTCAAGCATTGAAAAGCCCTGTGTGGCGTAAAGCCATGGAGGCCGAAGTAAATGCTCTCCTGAAAAACAATACCTGGTCTCTCGTTCCTCCGTCCCCCTCACAAAATTTTATAGGTTGCAAGTGGGTCTTCCGTATCAAAAGAGACAAGGCTGGCAACATAACCCAACACAAAGCACGGTTTGTGGCTAAAGGGTTCACGCAATGAGTAGGTATCGATTATGGGGAAACATTCAGCCCCGTGATCAAACCTACAATGGTGCGGCTAGTTTTGTCACTCGCTGTCACTCACGGTTGGCCACTCCGTCAACTCGACATAAATAACGCCTTCCTCCAAGGCACCCTAACGGATGATGTCTACTCAATCCAACCCCCCGGTTTTGTCAATCCCGAATACCCCAATTATGTCTGCAAACTTCATAAAGCCCTCTACGGTCTTAAACAAGCACCCCGTGCTTGGTATACCGAACTCCGACATCACTTACTTCAACTAGGATTCCACAATGCCATTTCTGACCCACCCCTATTCACTCTATTCCTTAACAATGTCACCGTATATCTTTAGTGTACGTTGACGGCATTATCATCACCTGCAATGACACCACGTTTCTTGAGTCTTTCATCATCAAACTTGCATCACGCTTCTCTCTCAAAGACCTAGGCAACCTCTCCTACTTTTTGGGAGTGGAAGTCACACAACAACCAAATGGGTTATTCCTATGCCAAACATGTTACATACAAGACATTCTAGCTAAAGCCAACATGGAAAACTCAAAACCTACGCCCAACCCTCTTGTGGTTCATCCTCCCCTAACATACACCAGTAAACCACTCCCTGACCCCTCTCTTTATCGGGCATTGATTGGTAGTCTTCAATACTTAAGTCTTACCCGTCCCGATGTTGCCTTTGACGTCAACAAACTAGCCCAGTACATGCAACAACGACCCACCGAAACCCACATGCAATGCTTGCACCGTTTGCTTCGTTATCTCAACGACACCTCTACCATGGGTCTCACAATCCACAAAGATTCCCCCTCGAATCTCCATGCCTTTTCGAACGCTGATTGGGCTCGGGACACCGATGATTTCATTTCCACGACAGCTTACATCATTTATCTTGGCAAGAACCCCATTTCTTAGTCTTCAAAGAAGCAAAAGACTAGAGCACGATCCTCCACAGAGGCTGAATACAGGGCTATTGCAGCTGCTACAGCCGAGCTACTCTGGGTACAGAATCTTCTACATGAACTTCGGCATCCCCTAGCTCCTACCTCGGTAATCTACTGTGACAATGCTGGTGCCACATATGTAAGTGCCAATCCAGTGTTTCACTCAAGAATGAAACACCTAGCTCTAGACTATCACTTCGTTCGTGAGAATGTGCAAGCTGGCAAATTACGTGTCTCCTACATTTCTACAAACGACCAATTGGCTGATGCACTTACCAAGCCACTTCCACGACTGCAATTCTCCACGTTTATTCACAAAATCGGACTGTCATTACTACCCGTTTTGAGGGGGCGTGTTACAGAATAACAGATATTCCTTGCGATGCTCAACGTCTTCCATAATTATACGAGTTGACTTGCTCAATTTTGTTAGCTAACTTACTGTTCTTATCTTCCTAGTTTGTAGTCTTTGTTGTTATCCTCTTACTCTTGTAATGTTATAAATACTCTGTACATTGTCTGCCAATATTTAAGAAAAATACAATACAATCATTTTATCTTTCCTATACTTTTAACTAAAATCGAAAAAAAAAAAAAATCAAATTTTAAGAATATCATCTTCAACCTTAAATCATCTTTTACATTAAAATTAAACTTCATCTTCAACCTATGTCATCATCCTTAAACATTATGATGATTTTTTACTTCCCAATAATGGAGATTATTGGAGTAATAATGTTTTAATTCGAGATTGAACAATACCATTCACGTGGATTTAGATAGAGAGATTCATGTAATAAACCTCATTTGTAGTTATTTTTGCAATTGCAAGTGTATGTTCATATCGTGTAGTAAACTACTCAATGAAATTTGTTTGTTTGGATCCTTAATTTTCAATCAAAATATATAAGTACAAAACATGTATCTATTGTTATTAGTACTACAAACCATGTCCATTCCTAAACGTTTAACTCATTTGACTTTTGTGCAATTTTAAATGCAATCTTTGACCATTATTTCTTTGATTTATTTAAGTGCAACACTTTAATAAACCTTTTGCTCTAAACTTATTTAGTGGTTTGACTTTATTTATTTACCAATGTACAAGTACAAAGAATAAATGTTACTATCTTCGATTTTTAGTTGACACCTTTCTTATATCACGCTTGTCAATGCACTATTTTAACGATTAATATCTCTAATTGTCGACATTGCATTGTAAAATTGTAAAGGAAAAATGGAAATTAATAATCCCACCTTTGGTTTTTCTGCTCAAAACAATCCCACCTTTTCGAAATCTTAAAACAATCCCACCTTTGACCCCCATCTGCTCAAATGAGACTATTTTTTTTTTTTTTTTAAATTCTTATATCTCCTTCTTCCTACCTCTCACCTCCCAACTCCTTCAATGGCACCACCACCACCGCCTCCCATCCCCATCGACGTCTATGACTAGGCTCCCTGGTTTTGCAACCGCGACTCCCATTGCTGCTGGAAGGCCGTACCCCATGGTGCCTATCCCTCCTGAGGTTAGCAATTGGCGAGGGGACTTAAATTTGTAGTATTGCGCGACAAACATTTGGTGTTGTCCGACTCCTGTGGTGATAATCGCGCTACCTTTGGTTAATTCGTCTAGGACCTCGATGGCATACTGAGATTGTATCGTGTCATCGTAGACAACATTATTGTTTGTGAGATGGTTAATTAGTTTTAGTTTTCGAAGCTCATTCCTCCACTCTAAGAAATGGTCCTTTTTCGCGGCTTCTTGTCTTTTTGCCAAGATATAGTTGATTACTTGTAATGCTACCTTAATGTCGTTGTGCATCGAGACATGGGGCTGCTTGTTCTTTCCTAGCTCACAAGCATCGATATTGATGTGGACAATCTTAGCTCGGCTTGCAAATGCCTCGATTTTGCCCGTCACTCGGTCATCGAACCTTACCCCAAAAGCCAACAACAAATCTGATTTATCAATTGCATAATTAGCATACGTTGTACCATGCATCCCTAGCATTCCTAATGACATTTCACGTTTATTATTATTATTATTATTATTATTATTATACGACGAAAAAACTCCTAAACCCATCAATGTACTCGCAACGGGTATACCAGTTAATTCAACAAACCTCCTTAGCTCCTCACTCGCATTTACACAACCCCCTCCTATGTACAACACCGGCTTCTTAGCCTCAAAAATCATTTCCACGATTTTTTGTAGCCCCTCGATTTTAGGCGGATTTGGTAAGCGAGGAATATACCCTTGGGGAATAGAATGGTCTAACCATCGAGGGACTATCATCTCTTGTTGAACATCCTTAGGAATGTCGATCAACACGGGTCCAGGGCGGCCCGTAGTGGCAATAATAAAGGCTTCTTTGACAACCCGAGGTATGTCATTCGAGTCAAGTACAAGGTAAACATGCTTAGTAATACTTTTTGCAATATCCGTTATTGGAACCTCTTGGAAAGCATTAGTGCCCATCAATTTACGGGGCACTTGACCCGTGATAGCAACAACGGGGACACTGTCCGCCATTGCATCAGCTAGTCCGGTGACGAGATTAGTTACTCCGGGGCCAGACGTGGCTATGCACACGCCTGGCATATTCGAGGCGCGTGCATAGCCTACACTAGATAAGATCCCTCCCTGCTCGTGGCGAGGGAGGATTGTCTTGATGGAATTGGATTTAATCAAAGCTTGATGGATTAGTAATGATGCCCCACCTGGGTAGGCAAACACATCGGTCACCCCTTCACGCTCGAGGGCTTCAATTAGCACGTCGGCCGCCTTACGAGGCTCATTAGGGTCAAATGGAGGAGTAATGGGGTTTTGTGGAGATATGGTAATGGGGGAATTAGAGGTTGCAGTGGCCTTAAATGGCTTTGGTTTGGGGTTATTCAAAGAACATGTAGTATAATTATAGTTGGAAAGATAACTATTAAGGGTTAATGAGGAATTAGTAGTTAAGAGTGGTTTTGAGAGGAGGAGATTAGAAGCAGCAATTGTCATTTTTGGTGTTGTTTTTTGTGTGTGTGGAAGTTCGAGCTTTTCTTTATTTTTTAGGATGTTTGCTATTTGGTATGATTGTTTATAGTTGATAATTAAACAACAATTTCTAATTGGTATGATTATTCATAGTTGATAATTAAACATTTAACTTGCCCCCTTTGTTAGAACAAAATTTTTCTTTTAAGATAAATTCTTGTAGTGTAAGTTAAGTTCAACAAATATACGTGAATAGAATGCACCCAACAACGTGCAAGTTCCTAATAACATAAACTCATTACTAGTAATTTCTTCATCAGGTACACTCAACACTCATTATGAAAAACTCTCAAATTCATTATATCAAACGTGCAATTCGTGCTAACAACCATAACATGATAACATGCAATAAATGACCTCCTGATATTTATAATAAACCATAAATTTGCATAACTTTTTTTTTTTTTTCTGCTTAAGTACTCGATTAGAGCTTCAAAACACAAATGTAATTATGTAAAATGCTACTGGATTAATTTCAATTGATATTTTTAATACTTAATTTTTACTTAAGAAGATTATTAAAGATATTTATAATAATACTGATAAAAACTATTGTGTATTGACAAATGTGAAAGTCAGAGTATTGCGGTTAATTTGAAATAAGAGTATATTATATATATATATATATATATAAATCTTCAACTATTACTATATTATCAATTAGAATATGTTTATTTAATTTTTTTTTTTTTTTGAGTTCTTGTTATCTTAGATGTGTAGTTTAAATATGTGTAGTAATTCATATCGGTATACTAATTAAAGTACACTTTCTTGATATTGGATCATATATAGCTACATAGCCTCATATATAATTTAGGTGACCAGGGGTGCATTCCATCGGCACCTTACAACTGTTACTACCTCTGTTACTTTTTAGATGCAACAAAAGGGTATTTTTTTGAGATATAAAAAATTCCTTTGTTGCAACTAAAAACTAACAGAGGTAATTAATTAATTAATTAATTAATTATTAAGCTCTATCAAACATATGGTAAAACAACTCGTTTTGTGTGCGGCTGGCCACACCGTGTGACCGGTTGTAAAATAACAAAGTAACTCCTATACCACTGACAAAGTAACCCCTGTACCACTGACCAAATAACCCCAATTATACTGACCGAGTAACCCCTAAAATACTAATGAAGTAACCCCCATTATTGCTGGCCACATGGTGTGGCCAGCCACATAAAAATTTGTGGTGGTGAAAATTAACTTTATTAAATAAAGTTCAGACAAATTCAGATGAAGGCAGTACATACACCCTAGATGACCCGTACAAATTTCTAAATAATAAAATAATTTCATTATTTATATTGAGTGACCAAGTATTCGATCATATATGTGTCGATTTTCCAACAACATCATTAAAAATATACGTAGTAGTACGAATTACTATATAAAACAAATGCTATGTAAGAGTTATGGCACTAAGTTCTTCAGATCATCACGTACATGCACTCTTCCCTTATTATGCAAAACTGTTAGACTCATTATTTCCAACGAGCAAATTCGATCATGTTAACAGCCTTAACATTAATTTGTCCCTTTAAATAATATTGAGTGTCTGATGCATGGACGATAGGTGCATAATAAGCTTATTGTAAACTCAACAATCCTACGAACATGCACAGATGCACTAGGTCAGTTGGTCATAAATAATAACGTTAGAGGCTTGGATCATCACCACTGCACGATGTGAGAGTTAGTTGCCAACCTTTATACTAAGTGAAAGCATTATCGTTATCCTCTAAATAATCCTTACTTTCTAATTTAAGTCTCTAATTTATTAATCATTATATTACCTTCGTTACTTTTTAGTTGCAACCAAGGAATTTTTTATATCTCACAAAAACTACCCCTTTGTTGCAACTAAAAAGTAACAGAGGTTGTAACAGATTACAATTACTGATTGATAATTACATTGATCTTAAAATTAAGAAAAATCATTTTTATTTATTGAAGTTGAGTTGTCTAATCTTAGGCATATGGCTCATTACAATAAACTTGAATCAGATCAACACGTTAGGTTTTTTTTTTTTTTTTTTTTTTCCTTCTCTAATTAAGTTTTGGTGTTATTTACTCTCTAAAAATGCTTTTTTAATTGCTTATTAAAGTTCGGTCAGATTAAAGTGTTGTATTAAAAAAAAAAACATCAAAAGTAATGTCTTCAACACGTATAATGATATGAGTGAAAAATTATAATAAGTTCAAATTATAATAAGTTTACATTGAAACAAATTAAATAAGATCTCACATGTTAATAAGTCGAGCTTTAAAAAATTGAGGTTGACTAGCTAGTAACCATTCTTCAAGTATATGAAGCTCCTCCTAGGCTCTTACCCTTTTGGTAATGGTATCTACGAACGTTGCACCACTAGGAATCGTAGGTAATACATGTTCATGGTATGGAATAGCAACATCAAGCAAGTATGGTCCTTAGTTGTCACCATTCTTTTGATTGCTTCGCGTAGCTCGCTCTTCTTGCTCACCCTCTCACCCGGAATATCACACGCCTCAGCAAATTTATTTAAACATGTCAGGGAACAAGTAACCCTCGTTTCTCGGGTTCCCTAAAAAAGTCAGTGTCCGATTCCCTTCGTAAAACACATCTTCTTGTTGAACCACCAAGCCTAATTGTTGATTGTTAAGGATCATAATTTTAACGGGTAAGTTTTCAGCATGTATTGTAGCTAACTCTTGGATGTTCATGTTAGGATTAGTGTGGAGATAGATAAATACATGGAGACATAAGGAGATTGCATAGAAGCTGCCTTATTGTTAAGGTTCGACCAAACTTGTGAAAAGTTCGGTCGAACCCGGTTTTAAGTCAGTAGGTGCACTAGTTTTCATTTCTAGAGGAGGAGTGACCAAACCCAAGGAGGTTCGACCGAACCACCCCAGGTTCGACCGAACTCTGGGTAGGTTCGGCCGAACCTCCATGCTCCCTATTTCGTCGCTTCGTTTTCGGCTTGTGCGATTTGCTTTAATCTTAGCCGTTGGATTGTATTTTCTACCTAGACTATATATACCTTTTCTAAGCCTCTTTGTTGATGATTCACAAACATTTAAACACATAGAGAGGTTTTGAGAGGGTTTGTGAGGAGCATTTGAATTCTATACAATTCATGCTTGTAATTCTTGAGTTCATTCATCATCAATATTACTCCATAGTGCAAGGGTGGGTTTTTTCTCCCGGTTCTCGGGTTTTCCCACGGTAACATTGTCTTCCTTTTACTTGCTTTAATTCCTTCAAAGTTGTTCTTGATTGTTATGCTTGTTTGTTCATTGCTATTGTGGGTTGATTGCAAGTTAGTTGAACACTTTAATCCTTACAGTTCACAAAGAAACTACCATCCCCATCGACGTCTATGACTAGGCTCAGCTCCTTGGTTGTGCAATCACGGCTCCTATTGCTGCTGGAAGGCCGTACCCAATGGTACCCATTCCACCCGAGGTTAGCAATTGGTGAGGGGACTTAAATTTGTAATATTGCGCGACAAACATTTGGTGTTGCCTGACTCCTGTGGTTATTACTGCGTTCCCTTTGGTCAATTCATCTAGGACCTCAATGGCATATTGAGGTCGTAGTATTGTGTCTCGTATACATTATCATTGTTTGTGTTGTATGAGCTAGGATGGTTAATTAGTTTTAGTTTTTGTAGCTCATTCCTCCACTCTAAGAAATTGTCCTTTTTCGCGGCTTTTTGTCTTTGTGCCAAGATGGTGTTGGTTGCTTGCAATGCTACTTTAATGTCACTGTGCACTGAGACATGGGGCTGCTTGTTCTTTCCTAGCTCACAAGCATCGATATCGATGTGAACTATCTTTAGCTCGGCTTGCAAACGCCTCGATTTTGCCTGTCACTCGATCATCAAACCTTACTCCAAAAGCCAACAACAAATCCGAGTTATCAACAGCATAATTAGCATACGTTGTACCATGCATGCCTAGCATTCCTAATGACATTTCACGATTATTATTATTATTATTATTATTATTATTATTATTATTATTATTATTATTATTATACGACGAAAAAACGCCTAAACCTATCAATGTACTTGCAACGGGTATACTGGTTAATTCAACAAACCTCCTTAGCTCCTCGCATGCATTTACACAACCCCCTCCTATGTACAACACCGGCTTCTTAGCCTCAAAAATCATGTCTACTATTCTCTGCACCACCTCAATTTTAGGTGTTTTTGGTAATCGAGAAATGTACCCTTGGAGCATGTTATGGTCTAGCCATCGAGGGACTATCATCTCTTGTTGAACATCCTTAAGAATGTCGATCAAAACGGGTCCAGGGCGGCCCGTAGTGGCAATAACAAAGGCTTCTTTAACGACTCGAGGTATGTCATTCGAGTCAAGAACAAGGTAAACGTGCTTAGTAATACTTTTCGCAATATCTATCATTGCTACCTCTTGAAAAGCATCGGTGCCTTACAATTTACGAGGCACTTGACCAGCGATAGCAACAATAGGGACACTGTCCACCATTGCGTCAGCTAGTCCAGTCACGAGATTAGTCGCCCTGGGGCCAGACGTGGCTATGCACACGCCTGGCCTACCGGAGGCACGTGCATAGCCTACACTTGCTAGGATCCCGGCTTGCTCGTGGCGAGGGAGGATTGTCTTGATGGACTTGGATTTTGTCAATGCTTGATGGATTTCTATTGACGCCACACCCGGGTAGGCAAACACATGGGTCACCCCCTCCCATTCGAGTGCTTCGATAAGAACCTCGGCCGCCTTTCGGGACTCACTTGGGGCAAGGGGGTGATGTGGTGCTATGGTAATGGGGGAAATAGACGTTTTAGTGGGCCTTAAAAGGCTTTGGTTTGGGGTTAGCTAAAGAAACTGTGATATAATTATAGTTGTAAAGATAACTAGAAAGGGTTATTTTATAATTGGGAGAGTTTTTGTTTAATTGTGGTTTTGTGGGAATGAAGTTAGAAGCAACTATTGACATTTTAATTGTTAAGTTTTTTGTGTGGAAGTTCAAGCGTTTCTTTGTTTTTTTATTTGGAGGTTTTTAAGTTGGTATGATTATTTATTGTTGATCATTAAGCAGCCATTTTTATATTTAATTAGTACTATTGAGGTTAATATATATATTAATTCGATATGCTAAGGAGTTTTTTCCATATCTTAAAACTTATGTCATGCTATATAGTATATACTAAGAATATTTCCAATTTTCCGCATCTTTGAAGAAGCTATGATAGTGAGCAAATTATAAGGTTGGGTTTTCTGATCTTTACATGGCTGAATCTTCACCGTGATCCTCTGAGACTCAAATTGATATGCTTTTATCAGGTCAAACAGAATACACAAAAATGATATAATTGAAATTTTATCCTATTTTTAGGTGTCAAATCTATCTATAAAGATGATATCACAACTTTAGTATAACATACTCCTATTATGGAATAAGCCAACAAAATCTCGTGACGTTAATCCATATCAAAACCTTAGTTATTTAGAGAGATAGAGTGATTAATCAAAAGAGTTACGAGAATTTTAACCCTAAACTAATTAATACGGAGTATCAATAAAATTATTGTTTTCTCGTGTCTTTAGTTGTATGTTACATGATTGAATTTTTATGGTTTATAGAAAAAAAGTTATCTTTACGTATGATGTAGCACAAAATTGAAAGAGTAAAAGATAAAAAATAAAAAATAAAATAAAAAAATAAAAAATAAAATAAAAAAATAAAAAAAAAGTAATTTTGACCAAAAATTCTCATTAAATCATGTTAGATGTTGCTAAATTCGTTTCAATGTATAAATTTTTATTAATACATACTTCCTCCGTTCCTTAGTTTTTGCCCCATTGTAATTTTATGGGTCAAACTTATAAAACTTTGACCATAAATTCTCGATAATCTATAAGTTATAATATATTCATGTGGGGTCTTGTTAGAATCATCTCAAACCGTGAAAAGTCAAATGGGACAAAAAATAAGGGATAGAGGAGAAAATAATAATTTGTAACTTTGTAAGCTTTGAATTTATGTTTAAATGTTTGATCAATGAGCTTGATTACCTCAAAATGGTGCCAATGCCCAATATTAGCCCACAAATAAACGGGCCTTCCTCAAAACTACAATCCCTTAATAAGGGCCACAAAGATAAGGTAACGCTTTCTCTCTCATCATCTGTTCATTCATCTTCTTTGATGAAATTCACTCCAAATTAACCTCAATTTTTGAGCTTCAAACACCTCAACAATGGCGGTCACTACTGCAATGAGCTTCAATCTAATCGCTTCTTTCAGAGGAATTTCATTGACTTCAAGCTCTTCATCATCCTTCCTTAAAGGCGAATTCGGAGCTTCTTCTCTTTCTCTTCCTAAAAAATCTCCTCTCTCAGTTTCGCCATTTCCACTGACGATTGAATCTGCTCACAAAAAAGGAGCTGGAAGTACTAAGAATGGTCGAGATTCTAAAGGTCAGAGGCTTGGTGTCAAGATTTATGGTGACCAAGTTGCTAAACCTGGCGCCATTATTATTCGTCAGCGAGGAACTAAGGTGAATTGTTTTGACCTAATTTTGTTGAATAATTAATAATGGAGGAATAAATTTGTTGAATTATCATTGAAATTGCTCAATTATGATACTGCGAGTTGTTTTTGTGTAAATTTTGATGCGATATATAGCTAATCAATTTATCTGAGTTCAATTATATTGCAATTTTTCATATTTAAACTGAATTTGTTAACCTGTAAATTTTCCTGCTATTTATATTGATTGGTTTATTGATTTGGCAATTGAATTGTTCTGGAAATTATAATGATTAGGTTAGTACTTTGTAAGTTTTTAGTAGCAATTATGGTATAGTAGTGAGATGGAGTAATATATAATTGTTGTTCTTGCTTAGTATCAAAATATCTGGAAATAGGATAGCTCTTGATGAGATTGTGAATTTGTGATGGTTTATTGAGTTATTTGTATTGTTTGATCTAATTCAAGTTGCTGTGAAAAGAGGAGATAGTTTTTAAAGACTTTCCCATCAAATAATTTACTGCATATTTTGTATGCGAGTCTGTGGAGGCGAAAATGGGAGAGATTATTGGATAGTGCAGAACTTAGCTTTGCAGAATTGTTTCGGTGTAGATGAGTGGATTATTATCTTGCCATAGCTTCTATGATGCTAAATTCACGAATCGTCCTGCAGTAAAATTTTGTTATCGCTTTTGCTTCTTTCTATGGGTATGTTGTCTTTGTGAAGATGAGTAGTAGTTTATTGTCTTTCCATAGGTTCTTATAGTACATTTCATGTACTCCATATAGGCATAACTTATAGCATTTCTGAGTATTGTAATCACTGAGCACAAGGCAGATTCTATACATAAGAATTTGGAAGATGGTTCTGGATATCTTTCTGCAAGAACTTCATGAGAGTTCACACACCTCTGAGTTTACAACCTGAGAGATTGAGGGAAAATACCAATTCATTAGGAGGTTTGGCACTTCTTTTGCTGGTTTGAACTATGAATAACTATAATTTGGAGTTAATTAGTTATTCGTAATTGTAGGAATAGTCTGTTAAGAACCGACGTGTAAAATTTAAGTGATTTGCCCATAAAAAAAATTGCTGTGTAGGTGGTGTCCTGTTGTGAGGTGAATAACACTTTCTTATTGTTGATTTGTAGGATCTTAGTTAGGGAAGCATTGTGAAATTGCTTTCACGGTGCTATGTTTATTGCAATGTATCCTATCTTGCACAGTGTCTACCCAGCTAGCATTTTTAAACTCTTTAGCGCACCAATTAAACAACACAAAGATGAATCCTTATGAATAGTAAGACAGTAACTAATCATAAGAGCAATACTGTCATTGAGTGCGACTGTAATTCTTTATATGCTGACTATAGACTTTTTGTATGCCACAATATTGATTTTATTTGTAGTTCCATCCGGGAAAGAATGTTGGACTCGGCAAGGACCATACAATCTTTGCTCTAATCGATGGATTAGTGAAGTTTGAGAAGTTTGGTCCTGACAAGAAAAAGGTTAGTTTTTAGCAATTTTCAGTATGATCTGTAACATTCACAGTTCACACAATTGACATCAAGGTTGTGCCAGGTGAGTGTTTACCCACGAGAAGTACAGCCTGAAAACCCCAACAGTTACAGAGCAAGGAAAAGAGAGGCTTTCAGGCTTCAGCGTGAGAAGAAGAAGGCAAGAAGGGAAGGATATTCTATTGAACCACAGCTAATTCTGGCATCTGCTGCCGCTGAAAATGCTGATGAAAATCCAGTCTGCTGATGACCTACTTAGTCGGTTTAAAACTTGGTTTTGCATCCTATTTCCCTCTTTTTGGCATGGTTTTTCAATTAGTTGTTGTAACTAAGTTTGTCACCACATCAAAAGTTTACCCTCCAATGTATTGTAGATCTTTTGCACAAATGCAGATATGTACTACTTTGACATAAAGCTGTTAGAATTTAGTATTTGCCAATTCTAAATGGAAAGGCAGCTGACAATTAAGAGGTTTTTGGAACATTGGATCTTAATTACTGAAATGTATAGCACTTTTATTGTATCACATTACAATGATTTCAGTTTTACATTTATTCTGCAAGTTCTTGAAGACTTCTCAACTCACAATGTATTGATACTATTGAAGTTAGAACTGTTGAAGATAATTCCCCAGCCAAGTTTAACACTTTACCATACATTGATATGGCACTAATCTTCAGTTTGCCCTGCATATGGCAGAAGTGGCAATTTACAACCATGATTTTAGTTTAATTTTGAGAATTTAGGATCCCACCAGAAAATTTAGCCGAGTTAATAACATGTAATGCAAACTTGAGCAAAGGAGGAAACTGGGCATTCCAGGCACACAAAAGTCTGATACTAACAGAGTAACAGCATTGTAATGCAAACTTGAGCAAAGGAGGAAACTGGGCATTCCAGGCACACAAAAGTCAGATACTAACAGAGTAACAGCATACGAAGTAGGTCATAAAAGTTGAACTGGCATTGAGGAACTGAATAGCCTGGCAAAAGTACATAATATATCCTTACTGTAAAACGAGTTCTACTTAATGAAATTGTTTACTCTACATTAACATATACGTCAAAATAAATCTTGAAGCATTTGATGTCCATTCTCTCTTCATTTGTTGCTCTCTAACAGACAAAATTGCAGCAAGATGACCTGCACAAGAGAAAGGGGTTAATTTACAAAGGAATAATCAGCAAAGTAGAGAGCTGTATGGTGCATAGAACAAGTAGAAGAGACACCTCGGGTGAGTTAAAAGACTTAAAACCAGTATAATACAGAGTATAAGCACATAGAAAAAATTAGTATTTATGCATGTAGATCTATTTTAGCTAATTCGAACATGAACATCAACAAAAAAAATTCATTGGTACAAAGACTCTTCACACCCAGGTCATAGAATTTACTCAGATGTAACCAGGTCACACCAATGAAATTCTTGACAGAAGCTTTAAAATACTGAGATGGGATATAAGGGGAAAGTCGCATCATTCTTCTATATAAAAGGACAGTAGAGCTACCTGGGCTCGAAGATCTTTTTCATATTGGATTTATAAAAAGCAGTACAAGTATTGCATGGAGTGGGAAGAATCATCTGGTGAAGTTGAGTAATATTCAACATCTTTTAAACACTTACCTCAGCTATTTATAATATATATTGCTTTCATGAAAAGCAGTTAAATGAACCAGGTACAGTTTCCCTGGCATGCGAATAATACATTAACACTGGGGATAAAAGAAGCATAATTGGAAAGCTCTTTCCTAGTATATTTCACTTCGTTGAAATCAGGCTCAATCCTTTTCTACATGCAAAAGTTACAATTTTTGTCCTATGGCATTCTGGTTCCCATCTGATTTTGTCAAAATCACCAATAAGATAAAAGAGATTGTATGTTCAACTACCCTAAGATGGATTCAATTCTTAATGTTATATTTCAAAGTCAATGGCCTCCCAGAAACTAGCATTCTGTATAATTGAAAAGAAAATAGGGGAGAAAATCATCAACCAAATTCAAATAATGTACCAACAAAAACCTTCATAAAAGATAATATAGCACAAAACAAACAACATTACTGCTTTCTTAAGGATCCATCTCTAACCAAAACATCAACAAAATCCATTCCGACCCAAATTAGAAGCTAGTCTGCGAGTATTAAAGCAATAACATCCAAGATACCTTGGAACTTCTAATTCAACTCACAAGCTAAGACACCAATATTTTTAATAGGTAGATGACATTATTCAATGCAATTTCTTTGATGGGGTAGATGCCATAGTTCACCCTAGTTTCTTGAACGAGTAGATGAAATAGTACACCCCAATGGTTTACTTTGCTACCGCCAAACATTCAAGCTTGATGCATGTTAAGATAAAGCTTTTTAAAATACAATTCCGCTTTTGAAACCATATTATTCCAACTTCCAAACATCTATCAATAGCTTAATCACAAATCTTGGAAGCTTTCGGTCAGTAATTTTTTCCTAGAACAGCCTTAATCCGTCTCAAAACCCACGTTCTAACACGATCAAACAAATCCATAATATACAATAAGTCAATGATTTAACACAAACATCATTATTCGTTACAACTAAATTTCCAAATTTTCCCAATTCTCATTTAATTTCTCACAATCAACAGCATCAATATAAAACTAGAACACATAATTTAACCCAAATCCTCTTGCAAAATCCATGCAAATACCAGATTATATAGAAATCGATCAAATTCAACCACATTTAACAAGAAAATAAAATTGAATTCAAATCTAATTTTGACAAAAGAAAAGTAAAATTACCAATCAATCTAAGTAGATCCAACGATAATGTTGTTGATCGGGATAAAGATGAGCTTGACGAAGAAACCCACGAAACCCATTACAACGAATCCAACAGCAGTACGGAAAGCCACCTTCGTAAACTCTACAATTCCCAAATTCAAAAATCAAAATTACAATCAAAAGATCCAAAACAAAAAAACCCTAAAAAAACCGAAGAGAGAGAAAATTAAATCAAAATACCTTTTTGATCGGGTTTGTGGCAACGCTTAACAAGACGAACGCTGTCCTTAGCGAAATCTCTCAAAGGATCGAAAACTTGATCTAGGGCATCCATTGATGAAGATGAAATTGAGGAGAGAGAAAATTGAAACTCAAAAAAGAGGGATTTTTTTGGAGAATTATAGATCTGTGAGAAGGATTAATGTTTTGCAGCTGCGTTGCGTTTTTACGGTTTATGTAGTGAAATTTTAGTTCTCGTAATTCTAAGTCAAGTAGGAAGCGAAGACGTGTGTGAGCCAATAAGATTGATCCACGCACACCATAAACTTTCCTTAATAAACTTTCCTAATTTCATCTTTGTTTTTTTAGTTTTATATTCTTTCTTATTCTTATTAGGAAATTTATTTCATTGATTTTATCCTTACAAAAAATAAATAAAGCTTTATTCATATGGAAAACACAATTTCCTTTAAAAATAATAGAAAATAGGATAATTTGTTAGGAAAAACCTAACAAAAGACACTTTTTGTCAGGAAAAACCTAATAAAGCGTTTTTTGCTCAAAAAAACCTACTATTTTTTTTTTGTTCAAGAAAACCAGACTCCCTATTCCGACGCTGACTGAACGTTTTCCGGCGTTGACCGTTACATGTGCCATGCACATGACCCTAAATTGACTATTTTACCCTAATTTGTTATTTATCCCTTTCCCTAATAACTTTTCTACCCAAATTAAATTTCCCCCTTTTTTATTCACTGTCTTCATCTCTCTCCTCACTCAATCTGTGTAAGGCAATGAATATATTAATCATGGCAGACAATGACGGACGACAGAGATTGAGTGAGGAGAGAGATGAAGACAGTGAATAAAAAAGGGGGGAATTTAATTTGGGTAGAAAGGTTATTAGGGAAAGGGGTAAATAACAAATGAGGGTAAAATAGTCAATTTAGGGTCATGTGCATGGCACATGTAACGGTCAACGCCGGAAAACGTTCAGTCAACGTCGGAATAGGGAGTCTGGTTTTCTTGAACAAAAAAAGATTTTTATTATGTTTTTTTGAGCCAAAAACGCTTTATTAGGTTTTTCCTGACAAAAAGTGTCTTTTATTAGATTTTTCCTGACAAATTATCCTAAAATATAATAAGGAAAATAAAACATTCGACAACGGAACTTACCCAATTTATTTGATCTGGTGTTTCAAAAAAAAATTATTTGATCTGGAAATCAAATGGCCCATTTTGATTCGAGAGCAATATGTATACACTTTTATGCATGGATTGGAGAGAATTCGATTACTACTAATTTATAAAATCAATTCTATTACTATATTAGCTAATACTCATTGAGATAATAAATTACAAGGCAGATAACATATTGTTATAAAATAACTTTAGTTGTTTAATTATTTTGATGATTATGTCTTTGGTTTGAATATATCAATATAAAATATAGCATGTTTATCAGTAGTTAGACTATACTCAATAGTTATTGAAACTTGAACGTACTTGAATTATGACATAATTAGGCCTAAAACTGCAACAACAACAACAAAAAAAAAAAGGATAAGTATAAGAGTAAAATTACTCAAAACCATACGATTCACAAGCAATTAAACTAGGGGGTTGTTAAACGTCGCTCCCATTTTACTAGGCACCGCTCGTATTTTTTTTATGAACTTCCGTATTTACCCCTCGTAAATAAATACTCACAACACTCATTTCTGAAATCACAACTCACTTCACTCTCATTTCATCTCTCTAAAAAAAAAATCAAATTATGTAAAATCTGGAAAAAAAAAAAAAATTGGAGTTCCGCCTGAAAATTCCGGAAGTACCAAGGAGGATCCGAAACTTTTAGGTGGATCTACCCATCCGCCTTAAATTTCCGGATGTTCGGTGGTGGATCCGCCTGAAAATTCCGGATCCTCTTTGGTACTTCCGGAATTTTCAGGCGGAACTCTACTTTTTGTTTTTTTTTTTTAATTTTTTTTTTCCAGATTTTACTTAATTTGATTTTTTTTTTTTAGAGAGATTAAATGAGCAAATAATGTCCACAAATAATAACAACATAAGCAAATAATTACAACATTGATCACAACAACAATAATAATACTAATTACTCAATTTATCACAAAATTAATAATAATCACAATAAAAATAATAATAATAATACAAAGATTACATTAATAAATTTGATTAATTAATCAATTCAAAAAAATAAAAGATCAGGTGGAGCTGTTTAAAATTTCTGGAACCACCTAGGAAGATCCGGATCCACCTAGGTGGATCCGCTTAAAATTTCTAGATCCACCTAGGAAGATTCGGAAATTCTAGGCGGATGTGGAGATCTGCCTTAAATTTCCGGATCTACCTTGGTGGTTCCGGAAATTTTAAGCGTATTTTAGGCGGATGTTTTTATTTAAAAAAAAATAAAAAAAGTATGAGGACTTACACAATACTCCGACGATGCCTCCAATGTACGATCGTTGTCGTCGTCCATCGTCCTAAACCCATCGCTAAAGCTTAATAAACTTTTTTTAAAAAAAATCGGATTTTTAGTGTTGGATCAAATGTGGTGGGGTCGGGATTTTTTTTTTTTACCACGTGGTAGAAGTGGAGGGGTCGGGAATGATATTATACCATTATATACTACAACTTACACAAAGGGCAATATCGTCCTTCCATGTCAAAAGGGAGCGATGTCCTGTAAAATGGGAGCGTTGTTTAGCAATTCAAATGTAGCTATAGGTGTTGTGAAAAATTACTATAAAAATAAATAGGGGAAAAAAAAAAACAAAGAAAAAAGAATGAATCTAACTATCCAAATACAATTGTTCAAAGTAACAACCGAGACACGCACTGGTTTTTTACAAACCTCGGTGAACTTACACTATAAGTTTTTGTTCTTGAAGACAGAGTTAATGATTTTATATTTAAGAAGATACACAAGAGTTTTAAGTTTTAGTTGTAAATTCACTTATGTTTAGTATGTCTAAGTGTATAATGTACTAGCTCTCCCTATTTGGTTGATTATTCTCTCTAATAAGTTGAAAATGGCCCTTGGTGCCTAGCACATGAGAAAGCACGGAGAGATGATTAAGAAAAGGAAACTTACATGCTCTAGTGAGCGGTTAATATGGTATGGTTATTTTTCTCTCAAATGTATATGGTATGCCTCTCCTTTCATTGGCTAAAGGCCACCACGAGCTTAAATGTGATCGACTTATGGTTGTGTATGGTTCAAAACAATATTATATGACCATGAAATGTGCCCCTTATGAATTTGTGAGTTTTCGACATTAGGTTCCGAAACCTCCGAAACTGGTCCGATTTTAATTATTGTAGCCTTTAAATTTGGCTTTCGGAGAGTAATTTTGGACTCGACAAGATTAAAGGTGCTTCCTAGGTTCCCAAAGGGACCTGGAATTTTACTTGGTGCCTCAAACCATCTCATTCATTGTATCAAACACGGACAAGAGCAAGCAAATTTAAATCCATTGACAATTTTTTTTTTCCCTACATTATCAACGCCTAATATAGGGTGGAGAAATCACAAATACAATTTTAAGATAATGGGTATGAAATTTTGTGGAAAACCATTGCCCTAAAATTCAGATTTTGGCCTAATTATAGATACAAAACAATTCGTTCCTCGAGGTTAGCATCATACAATACACTCATGTAGCATCACTCCCACACCAAAATTCTAAAAACCTTATATGAGAAAGGAGGTGAAAACAAGGATAGAGACAACGAGTGAAGCGGAGACAAGGGCTGCAAAATCCTAATTCCTTATATCTACATCCCCAAAGAGACAGGAGGAGAAACCAAACATAAAGGCTTGAAAGATGGAGAAGAGGGTGCGAAAGAAGGGCTAATAAGAAGAGATGGTGTTTCTAGAGGCTTTCTTTAGAAAATGACTTCATTTTTCTGATTTGTCAAAACTCAAGGACGATAATCAAAATTGAAGATCATCAGTAATATCATAGATTTTTCATCTGTCCCTTTTTGTTTGCCTCATTTGACTTTCCATGTTCTCCAAGTCATGTCTTTAAACATAACCATCTCCTATTTCATTTATGCAAAAATTATACAAGTAAATGTATGATATTCTAAAAGTACACCTTGATACAGATTCAACAATATCTCACATGACTATATTATTTTTTTACAGATTAGTGATAATTTGTGTCAAATTTTATAAAATTTGACTCATAAAAGTACAATGGATAAACTAGTTAAAAACAGAGGGAGTAATATTTCGCAAATTTCTCTTCATATTTCACACCCCTTTTCCACGTTGGATGAAATTAGACTTCTAGGGACTACCCCCATGTAGAAGTAGAAGGTATATATGGTCAGAAAATCAGGAGCCAGAAAGAGAGGGACAAAGAAAGATCTAGTGATCTAGATGCCTTAAAGTGGGCCATTAGAAGCCAACGTGGAACCAATAGAGTCCTCAACAACCTTATCTTTCCCTCATAATCTAATCTTTACATCATCCAACTCTGATATCTTAAACCATTTCCTCCAAATTTCTTCATCACTTAACAACCTTATACTTTCTTTCCCACCCACAAATAATTCACAAGAGCAACAAAAATAAGGAGAGAGAAAGAGAGAGGTGAAGGCGAGCTGGTTGTAAGTGACTTATGAGTGTGTGCGCGATAACGAAAATGGCATCTACTGGATGCTTCTTACACCACCATGCAGCCAGCACTGGCCTAGCTGCTGGCAGAAGCTCGGCCATGCAGCAATACCAGGTTGCAAGCATTAAGCCTAACCAGATCGTCTGCAAGGCTCAGAAGCAGGAAGACGAGGTTATTGCCATCAACGACGGTGTGTCGAGGCGATTGGCCCTCACTGCTCTCATTGGTGCTGCTGCTGTTGGCTCTAAGGTTTCCCCTGCTGATGCAGCCTATGGTGAAGCAGGTAATTACTTTTTTTTTTTTTTTTTTTAATACACGGTAAGATACGGGGGGATGCCCCTCCTATTACAAGAGGGGTGGGGTGAGGATCGAACCCAGGTCACTCTTGGGGGAGATAACCGTCCCTCCACTCCTTGATCCTCGGTAATTACTTTACTTGTGTGCTCTTCAAAAAACTGATTTCTTTTGGAATCATTTTCAGTTTTCCAACTTTATAGTTTACATCAATGATGAATTTAGGTACTTTTATAATGGTATACTTGACACATAAAAGAATAACGACTTATGAAAAGTCCTCTGATTGTATTACAGTAACAGATCAATGGGTTTATATTGTCATATGGAGATGTATCCTTCTTACATAGATCCACCCATGTTAACCATGAAGGTGTTCATAAAGAAGATTTATATATGCTATACAAAAATATAATTGAAGTTTTCAGAAAAGCTGGATTAAACAACTCAAGTTGATACCAGACAAAAATTAACTTAAAAGATTAACTTAATCTTCATAGTCACAATCTAGTATTAAGTCTGCTGAAGCATCTAGAGCGTTCAAATGTACAACCTTACCCCTTTTAGTCTGCTCAGTGTAAAACTGCAAGCAGCTTTTTTCAGATTCTGATTTACTAGTCTACAATATTGGATTGCAGCCAATGTATTCGGGAAGCCAAAGACTAACACCGAATTCATGCCCTACAACGGTGATGGATTCAAGTTGTTGGTTCCTTCAAAATGGAACCCGAGCAGAGAGGTAGAGTACCCAGGTCAAGTTTTGAGGTTCGAGGACAACTTCGATGCCACCAGCAATTTAGCTGTCATGGTCACCCCCACTGACAAGAAATCCATCACAGACTATGGTTCCCCTGAGCAATTCCTTTCCCAAGTAATTTCACCTTTTTGCAACATTACATTAGCCTCCTAGCACTATTGTTCCATTTCTGTACCTGATTCTGAAAACAAAACTTAATTCATGTTTTTGTTACTACAGGTGGACTACTTGTTGGGCAAACAAGCCTATTTCGGACAGACAGATTCTGAGGTAATCCTTCATCATTGCAGACTACTGCTTTGCTAACATATTTTCTTTTCTACGAATCTTAAATGGCATGTTCTCAGTGGTACACAGTAATCGAACCCTAAATTTTATGAAATATTCTCCATGCATGCACAAATTCGAGAGCTTAAACATGTTATTTTCCCTGGATAACAAGAGCTAAGAATAAGTTTTCAAACTGAATAAATTATTTCCTAACACAAATTAATCTGAGAAAAAAACATATATTGGCTGTTTTTTGGAGTTCTAACCTAGTTTTTCATGGACAAAAAGGAGGAACCATATTCTAAGTACCATTTGGTAATTTTTTTGTGAGCAGGGTGGTTTCGACTCAGGTGTTGTTGCAAGTGCAAATGTCCTTGAAAGCAGCACCCCAGTGATTGATGGGAAACAATACTACAGCATCACTGTGTTGACAAGAACAGCCGATGGTGATGAGGGTGGCAAACACCAAGTAATTACAGCCACTGTCAAGGATGGTAAGCTTTACATCTGCAAGGCTCAGGCTGGAGACAAGAGATGGTTCAAGGGTGCTAGGAAGTTTGTCGAGAATGCTGTCAGTTCTTTCAGTGTTGCTTAAATAATGTAACTGATTCAGAGATTTCTATTGTAAATCAACTTCTCTACTTATTTTGGGCTTTCTAGTTTTTTTCTTGCTGATGTTGCCTAGGGGGAGAAGGTTCTATACATAAACACCGGATTTTCAAATTGCAAATAGCATATAATGGTTTAAGATACATCTCTCTCTGTCGTCTCCTCTCTTAGACCACCCACATTCAGTCACCACAACTTCCTGAAATCATGCTCTTACAGGCACATAGGCATAGAATTCTAAAAATTAAGGTTGGAAGCGAGGAAGGATGCAAGCACCCATTTCAGTCATCTCGGCCCCTCAGCAGTGCAGCAATAGGGCGTGTGAACCAAAAACCTATAATAGATACGAGTATTGAGAAAACTCATGCGCAAAAAATCTCAAATATCCTTGAGACCTTGATCAATTATCACTATAATTAAGAACCAGAATTGCAATAGATTCAATTTGACCCAAAAATTAATGCGACAATTGTGACCAATAAATACTAATTATCATGTTAAGCTACATAGACTCCAATCAACCCAAACTGAATTTAAATGACACATCACTCGAATATGATCCAAAACAAACTAACCTAAACCAAACCAGAGTTGTACCACCTACTTGTAACCTCTATGCTCATTGACTTATATTTTTTACTGCTGTGCCTGACAGCCATGGCACCTCAGACATTTGTCACAACTCGTGTGAGTAACAAAGTGTTGAGAGGTGTTGTATAATGGTGTACCCAGAACGGCAATGAGTCCTACAAATTCAGATTGGCTAATCGTAAAAATGGAACATATCTAGACTTAACAAGGGCCAAGCTTATGACTTTGGCAGGGTTTGTACCCAGTTTTTGTTAGCACAATATATAATTTCATGAAGACCAAGAAGTTTAAGCTGTAATGACTATTATTTGAACATCATCATCACCATCTCATGCAATTGCCCCCAACACGATGGCAGCCATTGTGCATTCTGTCGGCAAGAAACAGAGTTCCTACGCATCTACATAGAGACTAAATCTACAAGAACCAGCTGCACTATTAATATTCTAACAGAGAAACGGAATTCCTGCAAATCGGTGCAGTCTCCCATTAGAGAATGCTAAGAAAAATCATATGGATCAATCCAACTGAAAGACCTTTAATATAAAGAGATAATGAATACATTTGATCAATTGATCCTAGACCCAATTTAGCTACAAGTGTGCCCTTTTCAGTTCTGAATTCCTTTTTTTAAAATATAAAAAAAAATATAAAACAGTTCAGAGGTTTTAAAATTAACATTGATAATGAAGTCTAACAGAAATTGTGTGTTATATCTTTTTTCCATTTGTTCACTAAAAGAATTATCAGCACATTAAGGGAAAAAAGGATTTCAGAATCCAAAATGAACCAGACGTCAAAACAATTGTCATAAAAACAACATAATCCTCATTTTATCACCATGAATATTCACTTGAGACAAGTCAAAGGAAAATTTACAAGAATAGAAATAAATTCAAAGGTAACGTGCCTCGTTTTCAATTGGCTCTATGTAGGAAAGCTTTCATAATTTTCCATTGCATTGATGGGTGCCATTGCTCTGACAAACACTACGCCTCATATTTGCTCCATTCAAGCCCCATATCCGTATTGTACGGTCATCACTGGCTGTAGCTAACATGTGGTGGTCCACTGGATTCCAACTAACACAGTTGACAACTCCAGAGTGACCTGGCAATATATCTACAAGTTGTCCTGAACTTCGATGCCATATAAAAACCTACAGATATATTTAAGAATATTAATATCGTCTTACATCAGATCAAGCAGTAAATAAGAGTTCAAGTACAGCAACTCCTAAGTATATAATACCCACTAGAACAGTTTCCTCTGATATTATCTATAAGCATCCTCATTATTGTAAATTATATAGAGGTCAGAATAGGGACAGAAACCATCTATGGAGGAGCTATGGGAAACAAATTTAACAAAAGCATGAATGGAAATACTATGAAAATTAGCAAATCCAACATTTTCAGTCAGCCAAAAACACAAGCCGAACAAACAACAAAAGCACATAACTACGAAGAATATGAGATATTGCAGCCTGACTTGATGAAATAACACAACCTTATAAAGCAAACAATGATGCTTATAATCTTCGCAGATACATCATGGAGCCAGTACAAAAACTGCACTTTCTTGCTAAATTGTGATATTTCAACGAGTACAAGAATAACATTTCTCAAAATGCTAGTTACGCAAGACACATTAACCAAAATAAGCATCAGCATCACTTCACAACCTTTTGAGTGCATCAGCAGCACGCTTGGAGTACTACTATAGGACAAGGTAAAGGTTATAATAAAGAAGCTCAATCAAAAATAAAATTTACCGATCTCTTAATTAACCAGGATTCAGTAGCACTTTTGTGGATAACCAATAGTAGAAATACTACAGAGAGGGCAATTATATATAGACCTTCAATAACTAAATTAAAATAAAGTAAAAACAGCAGAAAAGAGAGCACACCTGTGAATCTTCACTCCCACTGGCTATGAAAGATTGTTCTAGCCCACCAAAGCAAGACCTTACCACAAACCTGGACCTTTTATGGCCTTTGTACTTGGCTACAAGCTTAATATCACCATCTATGGTCCAGAGATGGATTTCTTGGTCAAGAAGATTAACCAATATAAATTTCCCATCATTTGAGAGGGAAAACGAAGTTATAACTTGGTCCTCCTCAATCAACCTCTCAAATTGTGTTTCTCTGTCCAAGAGTAGAATTGCTGCTTCTCTGCATATACTTATGATTTGTTTTCCGTCATGAGTTATTTCCAAATCTGAAATTTTAACTGTTCGATGTCCCTTCCAACACTCCAGTTCTTTTCCATTCAGATCCCACATGCCTATGCTTTTATCCGAAAAGCCAGCAAAGACAGACTCCCCATCAGGAGACCATGCACAGGAGACAACAGGAATCCCAGCCTTCTCATAGACTTGAAGACATTCACCAGATAATACATCCCACCGCCGCACCGTCTCCTCTGCCCCACAGGTGAGAAGCTGCTGATCATCTGGGCTCCACGAAACTTGAGAAACTGGTCTTTGGTGGCCACATAATCGATGCTTAAGCGCAACTTCACCATTTACGCCGACCTACATCAATTAATAATACTTACCTATGTTACACAGACAAGACTCACAGAAATATGAATTTTAAGTATAGGTGTAAGTGTCAGACATGCCAAGGTACAGAATATCAGAAACAAAGAGCCTATTGTGGGGTTACACATTCATAAAACAAGTTCCTGATTCTAAAAGATTTTAGTTTTACATGTGTTCACACTATACATACACAAGCATTTAGGCTTGACTTGTTTGCTAGTTTTGGTAACACCCCCTTTTGAATTCATTTTGGTAACTCACAGGATAAAGCCCACATCTTACACATAAGAAAATCAAGTTGGGTCATTTGACTATCTGACACCCAACTCCTTGCCCATAACAGTAGAGAGAGAGAGAGAGAGAGGCAGCTTACCTCCCATATTATAGCTGATCGATCCTTAGATGCTGATGCTAAATATTTCCCTTTATGAGAAAATTGCAAGCACCATACTTCATCTTGATGCCCTTCTAAAATCTGCTCATATAACATTCAACAGATCCATAAATTTCAGATCACGACATCGGATAAAGAAGGCTATCAGTCACATCTAAATGAGCAATCACAAGAGTGCCAAAATGTCATTCTCTCAAACAGGGGAGAAGAACACACCCCAGACAGGGGAGAAGATGGGGATCTAAAACCACAAGCAGATCAGTGATATATTCAGAAACTAAGAGACCACACCAAGTATAAAGTATGATCAGCTGATCACATAAGATGACATATATGCAAAAAATCCTATTCTCTATCTAAAAAAAAATCAAATTTTACATTTTTACCTGAGCCATTTGTATGTTGGACATTAACATGTAGCTATGTTTAACAAATGAGAATTAACCAAAATTATATAAGTCAACCAAATATGTAGATCTGCATTTGGGTTGGAGCAACAAGGGAAAGGGAGAACATAAAGTGACAAGTACTATATGTCAACAATAATACTTCAAGCTTGAGAATAAAAAAGGTAAACCTTGAATCTCAGAAATACGACAGGCATCCTCTATAAGATGCATTACACTCCATCAATGATTAAATGTAAAAAAAATACTTGAATTTGTGTCCCAATCTTTACATAAACTTCAACAACCCATTGTTCAATGTGATCATCTTCAATCTAATCCCTCATTTTCATACAAAGAGTTGCTGAAGCTCCGAGACAGAAGTCACAGGACTGCATTAAAGTCAAACTAGCTTCTACACAGGAGCTCTAAACCTCTTCAACTAGGTAACAACCCAAAACTTTTCACTTAAGCTCACACCCAGATAAACATCAGTACCAAGATGTGACTGGCACCACAGTAGGAATATAAACAATATGTCTTGATCTTGATACCAGATTGCCAGCAAAAAAAATTACAAAAAGAAAATAAAATTGGAAGAGATTTACCAGTGGATGGAAGACAGGTAATACAGCACCTGGCTACGGCTAGGTTAGAAGGGAATGGGAGGAAAAAAAAAATTGAATGAAAGCTAACACATAGCAGATGGAGAAGGCAATTAAAGGGAATCTAACCGTCAACTGGTTAAGAAAGATTAGCGAGTCCATTGATTTTTAGTTCATAAAAAGATCAATAAAACTAAATGATATCAGGTCCATAACCTGATAAATAAACCCATGCAACTGCCAGAATACTAGAATTAAATTCCTCTTTTCCGTTGGATTACTTGGGAGATAAAGGAAGTGAAAAGGTTTATGAAAGTTGATGTATGAGACTTCATGAGAGGGGTGATGAGGGCAAAGTAAACATGACAGCTTGATAAGTAAATCACACAAACCATTGATAATCTTATTAGGTGAAGCCTCATTAGTAGGATATGGGATTCCAGTTTGTTATTAGTAAGCATGTCAAAGCTGAATCGCTGGTATAGTAATTTAATGGTAATGGCAATTGAAGAAAGAGAGAAGATGAAAGTCTTGTGCACTAAGAAAAATTTTAGAAGGAATAAACCAATATTGTTACTTCAAAAAAAAAGGGATTTTGAACTAGACCCACTCTAACGCCTTTAAATAAGAGATGGTAATGATGCTGACATATAAAAACTATATCACTAAAAGTAGGCTGATTTGAGGCAAAATACCAATTTACTATCTAACCAAAGAAAAAAGAAACACAAAGCAATGACTATTTAGTATGTAGAGAGCCCAATTTCACAGAGAAAAAGGAGGACAGGAAAGGGGGGGAGCTAAGCAAAAAGGAGGAACTTCGAAATAGGTACGAACCTGCAAAGTACGACTAGGAATATTGTCTCTTCCACAGTGATGGTCGGCATACAATGACATCTCCCTGTCAGAAGAGTTGTGATATATGCAGGTCCCACGCTGCAAATTCAAGGCTTGTTCTACTAGATATTCCAACCTTCTGGAAGGAACCATTATTGTGGGAGGAAGTAATTTCTGCAGTTCATTAAGAACTTCTGAACGAGATTTTCCTTTCAGCGAATCCTTGCGAGCACATCCATTCTCACTCTGCGGAAGATAAAGAATACAAGAAGAAAGTTCATGTAGTCTGCTTGTCTTGATATGTAGAGGTGAAATCTCCGTCCTCAATGTCTTTAGAGCATCCATTGTCTTTCCATCATCTAAAAGCTCGAAAAATTTCTGCTCCAAGATTAAAAATTTGGCTGATTTTATTATAGTTTCATCCTCTAAACCAATGCTTTGCAATATCGAGGCACTTTCATCCCACCTCCCATCAAGAACATGCTGCATAAGCAAGTTTACTGCAGCAGAGTGCAATGGTATACCAGATTCTTCCTCAAGGCACGCACCAGTACGTTCATAACCAAGAGCATACAAAGCACCAGCTATAAGTCTTACAAATTCTAGCCTTTTGATCACCCCTCTTGAACCAATCACTTCTTCTTCCCCTTGGCATTGTATAGGTCGGGCCATCAAATCCCTCGAAGAGCCAGTAGCAACGGTTTCTTCAGCTCTTAAGCTACTTGAAAGACTGCTAGATCCTGCACAAGATAATCTCAGCCGCTTTGAGGGTGGTTGGCCATCCTCTACACCTCCCATGAAAAGTACAAGTCAGCCCATACATATACCTAAAGAGCAACCTATATTGACCAAAAGTTGTTGTAGCCCCTGCATAACATCATCTTTGGACTGTTACCAAAAGAATCAGAAACCATTGGCTTATCTTCCCCCCTTTCCACATAATTAAAGAAGATAAAGTTAGGGGCAAACACAAAAGAGAACATGAGAGATATTATTTCTGTATGGCCGATCAATGCTATTATAACACATAATAGCATCAAAAACAGCCATAAGTCACAGTCATCACTGATATGTCCACACTCCACAAGACCAAAGGCGGATTAAACCAATGGACACCATCACCAACCATGTGGAGCTGAGCACATGAATCTTCCAATTATAACAGCAACAAGTACACAAATCTTCCATTAAGGAAATATAATACTACGTACAATCAAGATATTGAATCGTAGAAGCTAAACTACATTACTTCTCGACAGCACAGAGGAGATAAAGGCATAAAAAACATGGTCTTCATGGCACATTTCATTTAATTCTCCACAAAGTTTAGCGCTTACACATTGCGACTTCATGGGTTTGTTTCGCTAAGCAATAAACTAAATAAAAACAATAATGAATAGCAACAATACATGCCACACTTCAACAAATAATAAAAACAAAATAATAAACAAACCAATCCCCCTTCTAACTAAGAATATGGGATTAATAGAAAGCATATACTCTAATTAACTGAAATTAAAATAATAAACAATTATTGTAAGCAAAATGGCAAACTAATTTCTCATTAAATGCTTTCATCTCCTTCCATCCATCAATGAAACTGGATACGAGGGACAAACCCGAACTGATCGAACCCGACTTTACAAGCTTGAGTCAAGTGAATAAGCTCGAAATTGATGGGGTGATCGGTTAAGGTCTTTTATAGTTATTGTATTTCTTTTTTTTAATTCTTAACCATAATCACATGAACTCCTAAAAATTTCCAAATGATTGCTTTTTACACAACCAAGAACTACTAAAACCAACCAAATAAGAACACGAGTATTGAAATGAAAGACAATTACTATAAACTTATCAAATTCCATATTCCAATCAAACAAACCGATCAATCAATTAAATCTTTTCTTCAAAAATCTGTCAAGAATCATACCAAAAAGCTGAAATTAAAGTTCTTTTACTAATCAAGAACCCTAATTTGGGGGTTACTTTATAGCATCAAAATCAAAGATTGAAAACACTAACCGCAAAAAATCAATCGATGTCGGCCAAATTAACTCAGAAATTGTCCCCAATTAATCACCGAAATCAATCCAGCAATCACCTAATCATCGAATTACAAAATTGAGGGATCAATAGAAATGGCAAATTGAACAAAGAATCGGCAAGTGAAAAATATCAAATTGTTAAAGATTTAAAAAGTGATTAGATAGAACTGGAAAAATCAACAAACCTTGAAAGAAGAGAGAGAAAGAGGAGAGAGAAAGAGAGACACGACAGTAGAGAAGATGAGGGTTAGTTTTGCATTGCAAAGTGCTACTACTATTTTCTGGGCTGAAACTCCTAAACAAGTATGCATTTCATTCTTTTCCCCTTTTTATTTACTTCTTATTTTTGATAAATAAAAATATAACTTTAAATAATGCGAAATTAACTTTAAATGAAACAGAGTACTTAATATTATCATAACTTCGAAAGCACCCAATCATAGATCAACCCAAGCATGAACTGACTTGATAATTGATACAAATTTAGACTAGCTTACATCTGATTGAACCGATTTAAAATAAGATTGATTCGAGCTGTGATTCTTGTGAGGGGATTTTATCAACTAAATCCATGAGGAGTAGTATGCCAAAAGGCCCATAATGAGTTAATGTTTTCAACTTATAAGCTAACTTACAATATTGTTCAAATAATTGGGGCAAATTAAGGTTGGTTGTAAGACTTGTAACACTAATAATTTTGTTGAAAATTGTTTGATAATAATAACAAAACACACTTTATGTATAATAAGTAACAAGTCTACATGTCAAGTTTCCCATCAATATAGTGAATTTGATATGAGTTTCCTCAAATCAAGCAACTTATAGTGGAAAGTGTTAAACTATAAAATGATTAAGAAAAAAAAATTAAACGAGTTTACTTTGGCATGCGGGATTGAATGTTTGTTCAACAAAAAAATGTGTGGTAAGACTGGTAAGTGATAACTACTCGATTTAAGAGAAGATACTAGGTTGTTAAGACAAATTGATGGGAATTTGGAGAAATGGAGAATCATCGGCAATATTGGTAAAGGATCAGACTTGACTCGCAATTTAAATGACATACATTAACAAGTTAAACAATGTCATTCCCTTACTATGAAATTAAATTGAATCTTGATTAATGTCAAAGAATGATTTCAATTTTAATTATATGTCAAAGAATGCAATGATGCATAAGTCATATGGTTCTCATATACAACAAAGATGACATGCTCCTTAGTGCAAATCTATGAAGTATCCATGTAATTAGAGTTATTGTTTATTATGAGTGCACTGATGTATAGTAGTCTACAAATATACACATTCGTTTTCAAGAGGTTACATGCTAGCATACACCACAATCAAGTGTGCTTAGTTGGAGTGGTATTAGGATGGGACAATGGGAGACTTATTATGCAATTTTTATCCATGGACATGAAGAAGGAAAAGGATGTTTGAAGCAATTATGGTTTACAAAATCATTCAAGCTAACCAAAGTTTAAAATATATATATATATAATTGTAAGTGCTTCTTTCCTACAATATTTGCATTGCTTGCACATTTATTTCTCTATTTATTCAAAGAAGTATAATTACAAAGTTGTTTCGTTGTTCAGAGAAAATTCCATTAACCTAAAGGGATTAGGTAAGCTATTTCCTCTATTTCGAAGAAAGTAAAACCTCATACAAGTATTCTGCAAGATTTTGTCAACCACACTTCTCATACTCCACTTCATACGTACTTCTATTTTTCATGTATTGTTACATCAATTAAACAAGCATTTAAAAATGACTATTGAGTTTTTGGTAGGGAACTTATTGGTAAATTTTCTCAAAGAAAGGAAACTAGTAAAGTGCATTGGTAGTACTCTCACATGGTTTGTCCTCCATTCCTTCAAGCAGCACGTGATAGAGTTAAGAGGTCGACCATTAAAGTGGAAAATTGACACCCAAAAAAAATTTAATTGCTGACCATCAGATAATTATGATCCCAAGTTGAGCTTTAAACAAACAAAATCAAGATCAGTATAAATTTAATTTAATTTTCTCATGAACTCATGGTAGATCATTTACATATGCTTGAGAAGACCATAAGAAAGGAATGCAAGTTGGGATTCGGTCATCACTGTGCAAAGGCAGCGACATGGTGTGGTGGTTTTCTCCGGGGGAGCGGTTGGGTTGTCGCATTCATCAGGGAAAGGGGTGGAGGGGAGAAGGTATTGCCGTATTGGCCTATCAACTACGGTCATAACTCGTAAGACTCGGCAACTCACACTTCACTTGAGATCGTTCGCAAAGTTGCACTCCCTAGAAAGTCTTTCACAAAAATGGTCAGAACTTGCATTATTTTTAAGCAAGAGAAATTAACTTGGACGCATAATATCGAGTTTCCAAAAGTTAATTGTCAAACTCAATTCTACTTGATAACCTGTAAAAAAAAAAATTGATCATCGTTTGATTTCTTTTGCCACACAGCATAACATTTTCCTCTTCAAAGATATCAATGTGGAGCATAATATTCAATTGAATCACAGCAATGTAGCAAGAATTATAGAATTAGGAGGTAGAAAGCCAAATATGAGTGGCATCAAGTCATCAACATACATTTTCAGAAATGCAAAATCGATAAAGAAAAAAAGGAATACAATTTCAAAACAACATATGCTATTAAATCATCAACCACACCTGATGTACAAGCCAGATAAACAGAATCATGGAACGGAAAATCGGGGTAAAAAAAAAAGGAAAAATATACCAAGAAGAGTCAAAGATACAGCTTTAGACCAAACCCTTTCCAGGAAAAAAAAAAAAAAAAAAAAAAAAAAAACTCCAATCTGCCAGATTTTGGAATAGCTATTTCCTTTCCCATCCAGAATAAGTGAATAACCTATAGCTTATCATGGAAATAGATTAAACCAAAGGAACAGCTAACTAGAGTTCTCAGCAAGGCGGTATAATGTAATTTCCTGTTGCTTGAAATACCGACGATCCTCTTCATCAACAAGAACAAGGTTGAGGTAATATTTGACACTGAATTTGTTATTGATGTTGCGATGTGTAGGCGTCAGCTCATACGGACTAAGGAACAGTCTAATGGGAATTGATTCACCTGTACATGGAACCACGGCAGAGTCAGAAAGCGCATAAAATGCTAGCAATATCAGGTGCTAACAAATCCCAAAATGCATGTCATTGTTGTATCAACTGCACGGAAGGAGCCTACTTTACTTTAAAACCCTAAATCATCACTGACCAGAAGTCCAGAATTGTATTCTTAAAGATCAACATGTACACAAAATTTAAGATCCCGAATGGGGGAAAAAAAAAAGGAAAAGAGTTGCACAGCCCCTGGTTTTATTGCCCTAGTCAGATTTTTCAGAAACTGCAAAAAACAGTAGGCAACACTATGCGCAAAAAATACATTGAATAAGAAAGATAAGCTTGCCAAAAAAAACTATGGATAGTTTTAGCAAATAATAAAACAAAAGGTAGCCAAAAACTATATAAGACAATTAGTAGATTCTTGGTACCTCTGACTGGAGCCCCATCCATCAACTCAAATTTTGCAAGAGTCTCAGTTTCAACATGAGTGTTTGCACCTGAACCAGTGGACTCCCGACGCCTGATCTCAAGATCCATGTTTTTTATCTTGATTCTTACAAGAAGAAAATATATCTTTCCTATGATGACATCTGTCAAATGATACCTGAAAGCATGTAAAGAAAAGTTGTAAAATTCAAATTAATACTCATTATTCACATGTACACAGCTAAAGTATGGGATGAACACCAAAATGGTGTTGTCCTTAAGGTCCCCTCTCGTGGAAAAACTCAAATCAGTAACTCATCTTAGACACAGGCTAAACAGCCCCAACAAGACCAGATATAGGGCAGTTGATTGAATCGCAAAACAAATTAGATCCATCAACATCACCAATTCACATGGTATCTCTTTTCTTCTCAAAAGCACCAGCTACAAAGCTGAACCAAGGGGTTGAAGAAGTGTCAGCTTACTTGCTTTTATTGTATTCAAACTCAATATGCAGGCAATCCTCAATTCCAACTTCCATCTACAAAAAAGGTAATATTAATGTAAGTCACTGCCCAACTGAGGCATAATCAAGAACTTGTATTGAAGGGCATACCAAAAAAGAATAATATACTTCATATATTGCTAAGATTCAATACAGACACAGTAGTAAGCAATAGGTAACAAAGATAAAGAACTGCATCAGAAATTTAGAAGCAAGAGTATACGAAAAGCTGAGCCTTTTATCAGAATAATCTTAATATAATACAGGTTATCAGAAAATAACAAACATTATATCCAACTGACCTTGATGCTATTGTTAATTGACGGTAGTGGAGAATAGTTGCGAACCTGATCCATAATAAACACAATTACTACATGCTATAAGATTACAAAGCCAATAAAAATATAAAATATAACACTAATAACAGTAAGTAAAATCCTGAAACTCTTAAGTGATAATCTGTAACATACAGTGCTAACAAAAATACTGCAAGACCAGACAGAACACTTCCACTATCCACATTCTAGACCCAAAAAAAAAAAAAAATTAGAGAAATAAAAAGGTATTATAACTCAGGCTTGCTGAATTATAGCAACAGAAAAACACCACGCTTGAGCTGAGAAAGCAACCACCTACCCCACTTGGCTTAGTTATGCAAGCTCATGCAGTACCCATGCAGCCATGCCTAAGGTCTTCTAACTCACTAGATTATTATTCCCGCTGCAGTACACAAGGCACTGGGTAATTGGGTATATATGAAGTTGAAAAAAGTTTTAAAATATATAAAGTACCAGTGAACTTTCCACAGCAGAATATCTGACATGGCACATATTCACTTTACATATTACATACTTCCATATTAAACATACAAATGGGTAGATAATACACTCCATATCATAGAAGTACTGCAAAGCTTGTCACTAATACTAAGCCCTAATTTGCCATTTGTCAGCTAATTACAGTTGACACCATAAAGCCACTCTACTGAAGATCAAAAATATCGATTTTCAATTGGGAACAAGGTTTCATTACAACAAATGTGATGAAAGGATGAGTTTAAATGTTTAAAAAGACAATACTGAATATGGGTAATGATAGATAATATCACACTTTTTATGTTATTTATTACTAATAATAAAGACACTTTCAAATAAATGCAGATTCTTAAATATTGTTAATTCAACAAATGTACACTGAAAATGGTAGCCCTTATCAGAACTTATTGCCCCTTACTTTAATGATGTGACCATTATTTTATGAAGCTTGGTTTTTAAAGTTGGAAGAAACAAAGCTTTAGTTTGAAGTTGTCTTTTGCAGCAGAATACAGATGGCTACAGTGTTAAACTTCTTTTAACTTTGTATTTAATGAAAGAGGAAAAACAACTGTTGGAAAAGCGAAAATATCCAGTACAAACTTGAAGACAAAAAGTACTCGAAGTTGTGCAGAATCAGAAATGCAAACAAAGGGATGCATAATGAAGAATGGGGACAGGGAGGTTACCACAAAGTCATGGTATTCTACTATACTTCCAGCATAACCACGGCTGATTGTTACTTTGAGAACATACCTGGAGTAAGCACATCAGAGCATTTTATTAGCTATCACTCAAATGCCAAATATGTCCTATAAAAAAGGGCAAAATATTTAAAACACATTAATCATATATATCAAAGTTACAAGTTAACAATTATCTCTCAGAAGGTTGAAACATGCAACGAAGTTAAAGCAGATATAAATTTACAAATCCTAACAAAGTTATCCATACAAAACAAATTAGAAAGTTCATTTTGTTTAAGAGCTGTAGCAACATTTTCCAGGACATGGTATGAGTCAAGTTTGTAAGCTATACAACACTGTCAAATGCCTAGCTCTAACAGCATGATGTATATCACAACCAATTTGAATAATAAAAAGACAAAAACATGTTACTTCTTCCAAGTACAAAAGAGAAACCTTAAAAGCGACAAACCTTATGTTTAGGAAGCCAGACTACAAGAGTAAAAGTGTCTTATACATTTTGTAAGCTTAAATAGAGATACACAGCAGTGTAGTCTTTTTTCCTAGTCCTTTCTTTCGAGGGTTGCTGACCCAAGCATATATTCTAACTTTTTATGCTTCTATGAACCAATCATTATTCATTAGTCCAATTATCGAGCCTCGAAGGTCAGTAGGTCCCAACCATGGTATGTGAATTAGTCTGCAGATGGATGGCATCCCCTAGGAATTGATGCTCTTACATACTATCTCTACCACCTCCATTAACTAAAAGCCCTTTTTTTTTTTTGGTAAGCTGTTACAAGACAAAGGAGAAGACAAAACTCTTGGGGCTGTTTGGTTTGGGCCTTGGGGAAATCAAGACAGGAAAAGACAATTTATGTACTAAATTCCCTTTGAGGGTACTTGGCTGGCTGTTTTAGAGTTTCCTTTCCCCACTTTCCTTTTTAGAATTCCCATCCCCTGCCTCTTCCTTGGGACTTGAGAATTACCCCACTTCCTTCGAATTCACCACCTACCCATTCACACCAACAATTACCCACCACCGCCCACGCTGCCAAAACTCCAGCTAACAACCACCCTTTGCCTACCCACCATAATTCAAGCCAACACCAACCACCAAAATTTAAGTCCTAACCTTCAATATCTCTAACCCGACCCACTACCATCTTCCATCAAACCATATATTCCACCGTAACCAACACTAATAATCACAGCACTCCCAACCATAAGGGCCAAAAACAACAGTGAACCCACCAACAACTCAACCGCAGACCAATATAATTGAGAGCATAAGCATGCAGACTTAGTGAGGGTAAAATGAAAGCATAATATTCTAAGAAAATGAGGGAGGAGACGGCAGAATGAGAAGGGGTGATGACAAAGGAGGTTATTGTTGATGTCCTGCAGTGAAGATGAAAATAGAAAATTTGATTTTGAGGAAGGGGTGGAGTAGAGAAAATGGTTGATTAAGAAGTGACCAACTAAAAAGGATTATTAGAGGGGTTCTGTTTCCTTTTATTTCTCTTTCTTAATTTCTTTCCATGTTTTTTTATTGAGCCAAACAGCGCATAATTAGCCTGAAGTTCAAAGGTATGTAAAAGGAGGTGAATTTGGAAGGATACTTTTTTTTTCTCTTCCTTTCTCAACCCTTTCAGCTGTCACCGCCTCCCTTTTTCTTTGCCTGTTGAACATGTTACAAAATCATGCAGGAGTGCGAAACTGCTTAGGGGAAACACTTAACAACCCCTCCCCCCACCCAAAAAAAACACACACACACACACACAAGTTGGGAGTTTGGGACTACTCTGAGTTAATTATTTGGGACCTTATGGGGGACTTATGCTGTCAATCTTTCCCAAAAAAAAAAATAGACCAGGACATTTCCTGGTAAGATAGCAAAAAAGAATTATCCTCTAGAATTATCCTGTCCTTTAAGGACTACTAAGAAAAAAATCAGCAGAAAACCACAGCACGAAACAAACACCTAAGAAACAAAAACATCCCCCAATACTTTCAAAGCCCAATAATTGTGTTCACCCTTTGAAAGCCCAATAATTGCATTCACCAACAATTAAACTTCATTCAGCAGAGTAAATACAAGGTAGAAAAGGTTGAAGTGGGTAGTAATGAAATATGATAGCAAGCATATAATGCAAGATATACGCTCCAGCTAAAATAATATAAATATTCTTTGGGCAACTAGAATAACAACAAATGGCTTTTTTCACCCAAAAAAAAGGTACTACAAAATATTAACATACCTAAGTCTTACATTCACTCCATTATATGTTTCATAGGGCATTTCCACGGTGGAAAATTCAAAGGGATAATTTTTTCTTTCGTATATTTCACCAGGGACATCCAATTCACGAACTGCAAAAAATCATCAATATGTTAGTAGGCAAACTTTCCTCGCCAATCAGGTTCTGAAAGATATGATAGCAGAAATAAAACCTATTCAATAATCATCAACATGTAAACATAAGACAAACAATGACAAGATCACATGACTATTAATCCTGGAATTTCCATACATTAAGTGTTCCAGTATGCTACAGATACAAACCAGATATTAACTCTGAAATTCTGAATCACCCCACGCAAGGAAGTTGAGTCTCCCACTATATTTGGTGCCCAAAAAAAAAAAAAAAAATCTTTAAATGCTATGTGATGGAATATAATTAAAACTGAAACAATATTGTCTTATACAACTAAAGTGTATTGTTGATTAGTTCAGATGTCCACTGCTTAATTGTATCTGCCCAAGGTTCAAAAATGTGGCCAGTTTGTTTCAGTTCAGTTTTAACAATTTTTGTCTCCACTAAAAAAGGACCTGGATCAACAATTCAACACCCAATAGCACAAAATCATAATGGAAAAGACTTCCAAACACAATGTAGGAAACCTACGGGGAGCAAAATTGAAAGGTGGGTATACCATTCTGGCCCTATTAACTCAAAAAATAAAATGCCATAAGTAGCAAGCTTGCAATGTAGAGGTGGTGTCATATGTCTCAATAAATCCCTCCCATATGCATATTAAGTTTAGCTAAAGGTATTATCAATATAAAATCCCTCACACATACATTTGGTTTCTGATTCTCTGGAAAAAAATATGGGAAAGAACCACAGAAGAGAGGAATTAAAAGCTCCTGATGGCAAAAGTTTACGGAAGACATTTTAATAAAGTGCCAAACAAAATCTCTGTTATGGGGTGCCCAAAATAGCATGAATAAATTTTTGAGCCCCCAGTGATCAGATTTTAATCCTTTAAATTTCCCCGTAAACGATATTTTAAGAAAAACTACCATCTTACCCAAAATTAAAAAAACCAGGCCATGCAGAAAGCCTGTAGCAAATGAGAGATAACAGAGTCAAAAGGACAACAGAGAGAGGAGCACCTGGCCAGGTTTAAGTAATTTTAGTATGAGGTATGGGTTTAGGATGAATAAAACCCATACCTTGTGTTTGTTTAAAAACATTTCAAACCCATACCTTAAACCCACAAGGTATGGGACTATGGGGCTTAAAAACCCAAAAATGGAGGTGAATATGACTCATACCATACTCTCAGGTAATAAAAGAAAATTGCCCATTTCCAAACAAAATCAAACACATGGTATTAAGCATCAAGTTCCAACCCCATACCACAATCTCATTCTTGATTCTAAACCCATACCACTTTACGAAACAAACACCCCCTTCCCCTTACAAACAAAGTTGCCCCAAATCCTACCTTATATATAACCATGCAATGGGACAAAGAATACACCTGGAATTTATTTTCATGAGGTGAGCAGGTGATATAGCAAACGCAGTGTTGCATATAAGGCCAAAATTTACCACTTTTATCTATTAATTTGCCTCATTCAGTTTGCAAGGGGATCAAAAAAAGTAGGTAGCTATAAGCAAAAGAGACAAACAAACCAGCAGAAAGGGAAACTTGAATCTTTATAGCTAAAGCCAAGAGAGTAAAATACTGAAAAGAGGCAGCCAAAGTCAGTACATTAATAGCGACCAAAGGCTTTCACCTATGTACTAAAGGAAGGTAGAATCAAGAAAGACATGCCCTCAAACTGTCATCTATAATTTTATCTACACAGGATAGTTGGTGCTTGGTGCAATGATTGACTCCAATTATAAAAGAGCCTCGGTATAAGAAATCCCTGTGTAGCAAATGGAAAAAGACACTATAACAATTCAAACTTTCATTCTTCATTTTCAAGCCACAAGGACCAAAAGTTCTTCCTTCTCTATGGTATAGAATGTTGGGCTTCTAAGAAGGAGCACATTAAAAAGATGGAGGTTACGGAAATGCGTAAGGTGGATGTGCGGAAACACTCTAAGAGATAAAATCAGAAATGAGGTTATTCGCAAGAAGGTAGGTATGACAGGCATTGCAAACAAACTAAGGGAAAATCATGTGCGTTGGTTTGGGCATGTAAGACGGAGATCCGAGGGTGCACCGGTACGAAGTGTGGAAGAATGGGACCATGGAGGGGTTAAACAAGGGAGAGGGAGAGGAAGACCGAAAATGACTTGGTTGGAAGGAGTTAGGAAGAATATGAAGTATATGGATTTGCATGAGGATGAGGCATTGGATCGTAAGGGATGGAGGAGGAGGATCTTTGTCGATGATATCACGGAATAATCAAATTTGGTTCATGTAGGCGACCCCACTTATGGGATTAAGGCTTTGATTGATTCTAGGACCAAAAGTACTTCTTTCTCTTGACACAAATAACTGCACATTATATATTGTTCCTAAGCATATCCTTGTGCCATTTTTACTTAGTTGCTTCACACCCATTATATTGGCTTCAAGATGAATTATTTTTGTTTGGGAATATACACGGCCAACATAGGTCCCAAATCACATAGTTACATGATGATCTCTCTCCTACTTTCCAATTGCCAAAGAAAATCTACCATAGCCTTCTCCAAATTCAGCCACACACATCAAAAAGAAGAATAATTAGTGCGAACCTCTTGTAAAATCACTGGACGGTAAAGAGAGTTAAGTGAACCTTTTCCTAAAGCAAAACCTCTAAGGTTCATTTGACTATAGCACCCCAAAAAGAAATCTAGAAACAATTAAGGAGAATCATTATTTCATTTCTTTCTTTTTATGGGTAAGGGATGGTTGTTATCAAAGACAAGGACCCAAAAAGAATAATGGAATTCATATTAGCCTCCTCACTCTAATTAATCATAATCCTGAAAGATGAGCTTCGTAAATACAATCCTGACCTTTTTCAAAGTGATGTGATTCAAGATCATCCAAATTATTATTTTTGGCTCCAAGTTTTTACCTTTCTTCTTGTTTAGCCTTGGTAATTTAATTTTGTTAGTAGTTAAAATCTAATATGCTATCATTATGCTAATAAAAAGCAAAGTTTGATGTTTTATTAACTTGGCATCGCTTAAGGTTTGTTTGACCACCCACACATGGTTGCGACTTTGTGTGCCATTGCTAATTGCAGCTAGGGAGTTTCTTTCTTATCATTACTCAATAAATTCACGTCATCAAGTCATCTTACAGAAACTGGAGAGAAAACAAGAGGCAACAACCTCATTTTCCCTATCTTAAACACCCTCAACAGTCAAATATTTCCTCCATCCTATATTTGTCTTCCCTTAACCATTTGGGGATGTCTCAAAATAATCTTTCTGCAACCTATTTTGATAATAAAAAAATAAAAAATAAAAAATAAAAAAATCGCATTCACATGTGATGCGCATCCAAGCTATTCTCTTACCACCTTTTCACTCTCCATCACATCAACTTCTCTCACAAATACTATGTTCCTACAATTCATCTAACTACTTTTTCTCTCTCATTCCACTTTAAAAAAGGATGCATAGGCCTGCAATCCCTATTCTACATAATAGCCCATCTTTGACATACAAGTATACTACAGCAATAAATGGTATATGACTTAAAGCAACACCTCGAGAATTCTCGTCTACAAACGTCTCCTAGGATGTTAGGGTAGCTTGGAAGAGGAGCCTGAAGAGAAAACGGATAACAGAATTACGAAGGCGGGTTCTATAGGCTAATTGGTGGTGTACATAGAAAGCGAGGCACTGGCAGATTTTCAAGCAGTAATCCTTGGATTGCCACTCCAGGTGTTTCAATCATATTTTGTGAAGATATTGTACAATGGATCATGTGAATGCACAACAGCATCAGTTATTAGTCCTTCGTTTGGCTAATAAGACCACACATGATTGATGAGGCATTGAGGCTAAAGATTGAGGCATTGAAATTTTTTATTCTAACCCTCATATTTGTATAGTGTTGACATGCATCCTTTTTTACACAAAACAGGTGCAAGAAACTTGATGCTTATGAATTTTGCAGAAAATGAAGTCTTACAGTCAATAGATTCCAAAACTAAGCGACAAGTATTTAATGTGTCAGAAGATATATCTTGTCTCAAGGTTATAAAGCTCAAAAGATCACCTTATAATTAAAATGAAGTTGAACTAGAGTTGTGGGAAAATGTAGATGGAAAATCTACAGACAAATAAACACCTACCTAGAGAGGTAAAGTCGTAAAAGTTTCCCCTGTCGAAATACATCTCTGCAAAAGAAAAAGGATTATAAACACGTTAAAATTGTAGCCAATTAATATTATTTATGAATTTCAAAACGTATAACAAGAAAATGGGAGAACACTCCTTAAAAAACAAGAAAATAATGAGAATCAATCATAAACCAGGTTAACTAGAACGATTGCCTACCTATTTGGCCGAGAAGCTCAACTTTTATGCCATTGTGCTCAATTTTTTTCCCTTGAACTGGCTCTACGGAGATCTACGAAGGCCCAACAACAGATATCAGAAATGCTAGGATAAAAACGATACAACTAAACTGTCACGGTCATTTTCATACCACAGTCAACGCAATGTTGAATTGGATTGACAACCTTACCTTGCCAACGATATTCTCTTGACTTTGAAAGAGCGGAACCATAACAGTTTGACCATTTTCTTTCTTGATGGGAACCTATTTCAAGAAGATACATAAGCTATTTCTTTTTAGCAACCGAATGCTAACACAAAATAAATAAATAAAAACCAATCTCCCCCAATAGCCAACTAAACATAACATCATAATTTAATTTCCCTAAACAAACTGGAAAAGTTAATGATCTACTTTTATTTTTTTTTCCAAGAGCATTGGCACCATGATGGCAATGGCGAAAATGCGAAAAATCAACAATAACCACTGCTCAATCAACAACCAACATACAACTACTTATTCCGCCACGAACTGAAACAACGGGAATGTTACCTTCTTTCGATTCTTTTCGTCAGCAAATGCAATCGAAATATGACAAGCAGGCTTGAAAGCTCCAAGGAGGTAATTCTAAAAAAACAAAATTCACCCAAATGTCGTTAATTTGATTATTTCCAACCACAAATATAGTTTACAAACCATCAAATTGAAAAAAATGACAAAAATTTACCATGCTTTTAGAATACCCCAAATTCCTTAAATTCAAACCCTGAAAAAAGTCACGACATGAATCAAATTCCACCAACTATCACAAAATTCAGCTGCATGATAAAATTAACAAAACAATGAAGCAAAAAAAGACGAATTAAGCATAAATTATGGCATGAATCCGAAAATTAACAGAGAAAATCGAGGAGATCATTGACGTTAACCTGATGATCGATCGTCAAAGAGAAGTAGAAATTGGGAGTGGGAATTTAGGGCGGAGAAACCCTAAATTTGAAGAAGAAATTGAGAGTAAAGGAAGATGTGACTCGGTGCAGAAACTCGGAGAGTGAATGAATGAGTTGACGAAGCGAGATCCAGCGAGTTGGAGAATGGAGCGAAGAAGAACTCAGCAACAACAGCCCATCAACACAGAGTTGGCGAACAATGTATAGGAGTGGGGCCACTTCACTTCTCTTCCGATGTCAGCATTTGTGCAAATTATATTTCCATGATCAACATACAATTTCGTTAGTTAATTAAGGGCGTGTTTGGTATCATTGTAATTTTCGGGTTTGTAGTAGTTAAAATTAGTTTAGATCAATTAGTAAGAATTAGATTAAGTTAATTAACACTTATTATACAATATAAGTTATTTTTTAATAAGTAAAAATATGTACTAATAAATTTAATGAATATTCGTTGTAAATATTCTTTGTAATGAAGAAGTAAAAAAGGTTTTTTAACAATATAAAACAGATTTTAGATTGTTAGAAATAAAGTCGAGAGAAGTCGAAGAACCGGTTGTATGATAAAAATTGCCACATGTCCCCATCAAATGTGAAATTTTCTACTTGCATGTACAACACTACAAGTCTACAACATGCATAGACTTTGTGACTTGTTCATCAAATGTGAAATTTTCTAATTGCCACATATCCTTTTGTGACTAGTTCCAACAAACATTTAAATGACGTACCTTGTGGTAAACTTTTTGAGAGAAGAAACGGACAACAGCATAATATTAATCACATACAATTACAAATCAATTTCCGCCAAAGCAGAGATGCCTTGCTGAAAAGAGTCCAAATATAGTTGTTCCAACTCCATTACATGATTCAAGCCTAGCACTAAGATGAGCTACTGCATTCCCATTTATTTGTCAATTGTTATATTACAATCTTGTATGATGCCATAATGGTGTATCGGTGTATGTACTTGAAGCTTATCTAAAGGAATTATATAAATTGTGGTATTTTATGGTGGTAAACAATAATATTGCATTTTAAGTATATTCGAAATTAGAGACGATCAATATGACTGAACCACTAATTGCTTTAAACAAATTGATTCGAGTCAAATTCAAACATCAATCATAATTTGCCTATGTTTTTTGTCGATATTTTAAAATATGTCCTAACTTAACCCCACCCTAGTCCGTCCCACGATCAACTACACTTTGTGACCAAAAGTATACACATGAAATAGTTCAAGATTAGACCTTCAAAGTCCTCTTGAAGCCAATCCAATAACCAAGCTCTCTAAAAAAAAAAACCCCCCTTTTAATCAAAAAATTTATTCATCATCATCTTTCCAGTTTCCATGCCCCATGTGCATTGCTTTTATTAATCATCCAAAATCAAGATGGGGTCTTATTACTAGGACATTGTCCCCATTTCTTTTCAATAATCCATTATTTTTACTTCATTTGTGGGTATTAAAATTAGGATTTTAACACTTAATTACAAACCAAAAACGGCTAATAAATCGGAATCCAAAGTCCACAAAATTCATAATTATTCAAATCAAATCCAAATTCCATAAAATTAAAGTACACAAAAATTAATTAAATTAAATTAAAGTTAAAGCAATGACAAAATTATATTATTAAATTGTTTAGTCTACAGTCTACTCAAAATAGTGTAGACAAAGGCTCACACTAGAAGACAGAGAAAAGGGTCTGCTAAATCTGAGCTCCATTTTTTTGCTGATAATTTGTCCGTTACACACGCCATTTTCATTCATGGAAGCAAAACCTACATTTCTTCTTTGACTGAGGAGAGAGAAATTCCTCATATGGAAGATTGATAGTGAAAAAAATTTCATCTTTGAAACTTCTTTTCTAATGGAGTACGAAAGGATTGAAAGACCTCAGGTTAGCTAATTTCCCCTCCCCCCCCCCCCTTTTCTGCAAATTTCCCATTGTTTTTGAGAAAATACAAGTTTTTGGTTGGATTAATAGTTTTCTTTTCTGGGGTTTTAAGTTTGATTTGTAATTTTGAGTTTTCTGGGTTATTTCTGCAATTTCCCATGGTTAAATTGACTTTTTTAAAAAATTAATTTTCTGGGTTTTATGTTTAGCTTTTTGATTATGAGTTTTCTGGGGTTTTCTGCAAGTTTCCCATTTATGGTTGAATTAACTTTTTACTATTTTTTTATTGGTATTCAGTTTGATTTTTGACATTGAGTTTTCTGGGTATAGAGAGGAGGAGGGTTGTCACCAGCGAAGCTGAGGAGTATGTTAATGGGAGTAGAGAAGAAGAGGAGGGAACTTCTTGGAGAAGTGGATTCATCTTGTTCTTTGAGATCTCAGCATTCTGGTGTATATGATCCAGGTATATTTGCTACACTGTCTGATTTTCTTAGTCTCTAAGGGTTTTGGTGTCGTAGTCCCCAAGGCGAGATTTGATCCTAGTTCTTGGTACTACGGCTAAGACTTTAATCAATTAAGCTGGTTTTTGTGATATGAATTATTATTATTTATATATATATTGGATTAATGGATATTAATATTGACATGTTATGATTTTGGTTTTTACGTGTGTTATCTAATGTATAACTATATTTTTTAATTAATGTTGTATGGTACTATGTAATTAGAAATGTAAAGGCGCAATTATTGACATAATGGTCATAAACTTGTATGCTTAATCATTTTATATACTACGTATTTATAAAAAAAATAATCAACAAAAACAGAGAAAGAATTTAAAGAGATTCCTGAAGTTTCTATAAAGGGGGCTGGTAGTTTGGAATAATGTAGTCAAAGGAAATTTTTTTACTTTTATGTTAAAGCCATAAAGGTTTGATGCAGCTAGTTTTAAAGGTAATGAGTCGACTTTACCTGCTATGCAATGAGCTCATCAATAAAGCCTTTAAGGTTCTTATAAAGTTTGATCAAATCCAATGATTAACTAGTGGGATTGTTTCATTACACACTGTGCTTAGGATAATCTTTAACTAAATTTGTTGCATTGTTGGGTAATATATATGGTTCTTTTTCTGTCTTTATTCTCCACTAGGTGGCAGCCGTCCTGACTCCTGAGCAGTTTAGTATGAAACTATCCCTAGGGACAATGGGAGCCTGTTCATCACACCACACCTTCTCAATTGGGAAAAAACCATTTAAACCACCCATAAGGACTATGGGAGCCTGTTCATCGCTTTTATATTCAATGACAAAATCAGAGTTCATGTAATAACCGTGAGTTTGTATCATAAATTATTAGTACAGGCGAGAAGTAGTGTTTGTCATATCTGTGGTCCATGCTGAAACCAATGCTACAATAATTTGTTGCAAAAAGGTTCATCTTGACATAGTCAGAGCTTTAATACTCTATAGTCTATCATGTCATAGATTAGTACTTGTGATGGTTTAAATTCATATTCTAACAAATATGTTTAGGTACTGATTATTCTGAAAGTTACAAGGATGTGGACGTTGTGCGTGAATTTGTTGAATGCTCGACCTCAACAACTGGGGATTCAGAAATGATTCCAGATCGTAATTTGAAAGATCAAAATTTTGTCAGCTCAAGAATTGGGTTAAATGAAGAGTTTGAGGAAGATTATGAAAACGGGCATGACAACTTGGGTGTGGTATTGTCAGCTTTCGAGTTTCAGAAGACAGAACGAGGGCAACCAAGAGTGCCAGCTGCACCATTTTCAAAGCCGCCACCATCGAAATGGGATGATGCACAGAAGTGGATAGCAAGCCCTACTTCAAACAGACCAAAGACTGGTCAGTCACATGGTGTGCAAGGGGCTAGGAAGACTAACATTTTCGGCCATGGAGGTAGAAAAACTGCTACAAAAGTAGTTCATGAAGTTCCAGATGAAAAATTAGTTGCTTTTGAAGAGCCTGATATGAAGAGGATGGATTCAAGTCTAGCTATAAAAGCAAATGCCACCCAAAAAATGGTGAACTGGGGGTCAGATCCATACTCACATGCTGATCTACATGGAAAAGCAGCAGATATGATTGAAAATTCTCTTGGCGATCCTGAAAGTAAGAGTTTGCTGACTTCAATATTTTGTTTCCCCATTATCTGTATCATTGTCAAGCTCAGTTTTACTAGTTTTACAACTTTACTTTGTAACGATATTATGGCTACCATAAACGGCACTTGTATAAATGAACACATTGCTCTTTTTTGTAGTCCATCTCAGTCAACATGATTCATCTATATCAATCCAAACATCAACAGCCATGATTCCGCCTACTTCATTTGCCAGATCTGTTTCCATGAGGGATATGGGTACAGAGATGACTCCAATAGCAAGCCAGGAACCTTCTAGAACTGGAACTCCTGTTAAGGTGAAATCACCGATGCACAGTCCTACTTCTTCAAGATCATCAACGCCTAAAAGAGCTAATCTTTCAGCAGCACAGACAAATATGATAAATGGCAGTTTAAACCAGCAGAGAAAGGAACTTTCTGAGAAGGAGATGCAGATGAAAACTAGAAAAGAAATCATGGAACTTGGCATGCAGCTTGGTAAGGTGAATATAGCTGCATGGGCTGGTAAAGATGATGAAGAAACATCATCTTCAGCTAACACAATGGCTGGAGAACAAGCGTCCAAGAGTGTTGTTGAGACAAGAGCGGAAGCCTGGGAGGAGGCTGAGAAAGCAAAGTACACAGCAAGGTACTGTAATTCTCTTATCGTTGCGTTCCTATATTGTGAAATCATCCAAATTTTCCTTGCAATGTTGTGTGGCTTTGAAGGTTTATTTTGGGTGGTGTTTAATGGATCCAGATTTATTAGTGATTTATGTGGTATTTAGCCCAATCTGCTAAATTAATAAGAGACTTCCCCCACTATTAGGCAATTACACTGTTCCATTGTAGTGGGTAACGTAATTGCTGAATACTGTTCTCCTTTAGTCAAGATCATCCCACTCAAGTGCAGTGGGATGGTTCAGATTCTGCCCTTGCTTCTGAGTTTAATATTCCATCAAAAGTATCTAGCTGATATTTGTAGAAGAAAAAGGGAAGACTGCACTTTATCTTTTAATGTTAGGCTTTTGTTGCAAGTAGCCAATCTAGCCATCTAGAAATTAGAAAATCACGATAATCTAAGGTAATATATCTACTGTATGCCTCTCAGTGCGCTGTGGAAACACAAAAGAAGTCAAGGGGTAGGTGACATAGGTCTCCACTTGCCCTTTATGGTTTATATTCCTTCTGAAAGAAATTTATATTGGGGAAGCTCAATGTAATATGAC